TCGATAACTTGCTCCAATAATTATTTTTATGAAAAAGTTTAAAATATGGATCATTGAACATACCTTTATGATATAATAGTCAATGGTATTAAAATATGTTGTGCATAACTATTATAATATAAAACTATATAATATGTAGTATTAACTAATAATATTACTTTTTGTTTTATTGTATATTGTAATATACCTTATATATTATGTTATGTAAAATAAATATATAGCTTTTTTTTCACTTGCTTTTTTTCCTGATCCCATTTTTAGAGTGAAAAAATACACTGAAATAACCGAAAAAAAAAGAAGATTTATGAGAGGGCATGTGCCTCCCTCCCGGGTATATACCTACTAGGTTCATTCCCGAGTCACCGACATTTTCAGAAGTTATCAGAATAAAAAGAATTCAACAAGAGAACATACAAAATTTAATAAAGAAGAGTGAACAGCTGAAATATAAATATAACGATATGAAATAAGGTATAGGCAATATAATAATGCGATTACAAATTTACATAAGTATTATATTACCTACACATAATTTCGTCGAAAAATATTATAATTATTTTTTTAAATTCAAATAAAACGGAAAAAGAAATAACAAAGAAATAATATCCAGCCACGTAAAAATAGTCCATTCCTATTATAAGACGTATACAGTATATAAAGCCGGTGTAACTTGTTTACGTATATCAAAAATGTAGAATAATAATGGCGTACTTAGAGGAGAGGCTAAGGGGATTCAGTTCCCCCATATTGGCCTTGTTAAAATACGCAAAAACTATACAAGCTATTCAGCATTGAGCTTTTGAAAACTATTAAATTATACTTGCAAATGGCGTATTTATCATTTTTCGTAGGGGGTGGATGACAAGAATTTTACCCCTCTCCTCAATATATACCAAATACATATATAGCTTGGATTTCGGACAACTTTTTTTTTTTCTATTTATTCCAAACATATTTAATACCATTTACTTTAGTAATTTAAATTAGCAACAGTTTATTTTCGTAAAAGGAGGTCTAATTTCCTTGGGTTTAACGCAAGCTCATCGATGTCAGTTTCTATTTGGATGTCCCGATATATAGACATCATTGTTAAGCCGTTTAACCTCGTCTAAATGTAAATTCAAAATATAAATTTAATTTATTACAAAATACCTATCAATAAAGAAATAACCTCTTTCACAGAATTTCTCAAAGAAGTTTTGATTCTTTTCGAGTTTGAAAAACGTCTTTCTGGGTCATCTGTTGAAACGATCAATGTGCAAAATATTTTCATCAAAAAACGTACATTGGGGAAAATATCTTAGTCAAAATATTTCAGTGCTTCTAAACCGTTTTTAAACATGGTATCACCAATTTGTCCACATTTGTAATTCACTCATACACAATATATCATGCTCGAGTACTGTTATTTTACAGAACACATTTAGGTATAAACTATGAATTTTTGTTTGCTGTTAATAGTTCAAACTTATCAATTAATACCTATACGGCTATGCATTACGATGTAATATAATACACGTATTCAACGAGCCATGAGGGCAGATCTGTCCCCCGATTACTTGCAACTCAATATCTACCATTTTCACATCGCACTACTAACTTAACTACTCTGCGGTAACTGGATACGAATAATTATTAATCAATAATAAATAAATATTAATTATTGTACAATATAAAAATATGTATACTTTGTCGATTAATACCGAGAAAAAAGTATTACGTATAAGTACATTTATACACATTTTGCTCGCATTATTAATTATAATGTGCGTTTACTATGTTAAGCACCCGTTCCGTTAAAAAATCCTGGGTACGACACTGTAAAATGCATATAGCCTGTAGGTATTAGTGGTCGGAAAAATCCGGATTTTCGGAATCCGAAATCCAAAAATATAGTATGAGATATGAACTATCGATAGGCAATTGTCGCTTGTAATAATACTAATTAAAATAGGCAATAATTTTGTCTACATATTTTTTTTTAATAATAAATTAATAACAATTATAATAATGATAAACTAAGTATAGGTAAATAGGTAAATAATAATTATATTTTAATGTGTAATAATAATAATAAGTTTATAACAACTATAATAATGAACAAATTGGCTTCCTCAAAGTATCAACTAGACAATTTTCGGAACTTGAGGTCCAAAATCCAAATTTTTGGGATTTTAAAATCTTAAATCCGGATTTTTAAATTTATATCACATCACTAACAGTTACTGAAGAAATAGTTATTGGCACAGGTAGCAGCTGGTTTGATCGCATATTGTAAGTTGGGCGGTGAGCGTACCCAGTAAACAAATATATAAACGAATGTGTTTAAAAACAAATTATATTTACACCAAATAACGTATGATATTTACGGAATTATGGAAATATGGAATTTGGTACATTATCAAGATAATTTACGTGGATTAGGTACTGCTGATTCAAAAGATAAATATTTAACCGAGATTAATCATACACAACCCATATAAAAGGAAATGGTTGGAAATGTTGAAGGACGTATATGGAATATTTCAAAAAAAAAAAAAAAAAAAAAAAAAAAAAAATATACAATAAAAACAAATATGTGGATTAATTTCTGGCTAACCGAACCGCAGGTCCAAAATACCATAAAGTATAAGCGCTAGTAAAAAATTAATACAATTGGTTCAATAACTAAGTCAATCATTTTTTGTGGGACCCGCTTAGCATAATCATTCGGTCGTGAACCCCCCACGTCAAGGTGGGTCCCGTTGGGAGAAGAGGAACCTAACCTAATCCTTCAGTGATATTGTACAAGATGATATCAACAAAATTAAACATAACGACTAATCAATCATCGAAAACATAACTAACATAATAACCTCAGAAACAGTAATATCAATCAATAGTTTTATACACCGCAATCGTAAACCCAACTACCCAAGGTTCCCCGATGGAACGACAAGAACAAAAGGCATACATATAATATAAAAAATATCTTGTACATATAAAAAAAAACCCAAGAAAATAATAATTCTTATTCCTTAACTAGAGAAAGATATATATTCCATCGAAGGCCACAGACCTATCAAACCTCTTAATACTGCAATGGCAATAAATAAGGAAAAAATCATAAATGAAAGACGTAAATAAATATAGGTGTTGGAAAAAAAGGAAATAATTAAGTCATAATAAAAACTAAGGTAAATAGGTATGTAGGTAAAATTAATTCAATAACTTAAACTAACTTAAACTACCTAATATTAAATATTAAATTGAATAAAACGAATCTATAATCCATAATTGACCGAACTAGATAGTACACGATAATTACAGTGTTTTGTGTGTGGCAGGAAATTTAAATTCCTTGGATAGATGTACTAAAAAACCTTATGTGCAGCCAATTATTTCAACATGGATATTAGGTGTTAGAGATTAGAAAATGTAAAACCAAGATCAATAATACCATCATTCACACAGGACAGATTGAAGCCATTGATCCTACAGAAGTTGCAGATCACCTAGTGTAGGACACACAATGAATGAATTATATATCCCGGAACTCGGAAGAAGACACCAAAACATTGTAATAACTCACGATGTTTTAAAAATCTACCCTCTAGATAGTTATGTTAACAAATTTTCCAAGAATGGTGTATTCACATTGGATATAATATACCTAATAGTCGTCTGTTGTAGTATTTCCATTTAGTGATATTTTTTGTATTTCGTATCAATATACAAATTTTTATTTTTACTCGTATTTTTAATTATCTTGAATTGATTTGGAAATCCTTCAGACGAGTCTCTCCTTAGGTCTTGTAGAACTATTTTTACGTCGTTTACCAACTGCAGCAATGCCAATACCAAATCAATATTTTCACTTTGTAACTGACGGCTAAGTGATGTACTGATTGAAAATACTTTTCCAACAAAACGAGTAGTCAGGTATTATAAATTCTGGTTCTAAAAGAGTCGTTTAGCTTTAGATAAAATATCTTAATAGCCGAATTCTAAATAGGTACCTATTATATGTTAGTATCTACGCCACGATTTTCTCTACTACTTTCGTCATTTTTCTGATTTCTGAATATCTATGGTCTGGTATCATTAATCAGTTATTTCCAATGAGACATTTTCAACAGAAAGTTCCAAACTACATATTAGCCATTAGGTATGTTGATGAACTGGAGATCCATAATCTAATCATATTTGATAAATAAAAAAAAGGGCCAAAAGGAGAGGAGAGGTATATCCGTGCACGCCACTGATATTATTGACAACGGATTGAATACACTCTATAAAACAATATGACAATTTACATGTGTGGGACTGGAACAAAATTGTTCTGTAGTTAGAAATAATTGAAGAATTACAAATCTAGGGAACAGAGGTGATTAAGTTTAACATAAATAATGATGAAAAGACATTTAACCATAAGGACCGCTTAAAAAGCAACTATATTGGGTAGGTAAGTTAATACAGAACGAAGTCAAAATAAGAAATCAGGACCGATAGTTTATCAGTCAATTCTGTGTTTCTCAACCTTTTTGCTGTCGCGCCCCCCTAAATTTATATGTATTTAATTTTTTTGCGACTCTTAAATATATATTTTACGCACGACGGTCCAATATTTTAGTTTTGACGATCGTTAATAATTAATTGGCGACCCCCAGAAGTGTCATGTCCCCCCCCCAGATTGAAAAACACTATAATAGACCATTGTTTTGAAAACTAAATAGGTAAGCCTTGAAAGACATCATCACAGGTAAATCAAATATTAGGTATGTAGATGTATTACAAACATATTAAATTCTGTCAAACATAAAGTGTATTTAATTAAAATATAATTTATTTTTGCAATTTACTGAGTTAAACAAGTTATACTTATTAGTTGTTTTACAGAAAAATAATAAACTCCATACAATCATATATTGTAGGTTAAGTATTAAGCATAAATTGAGCTTAAAAACAAATACAAATTAACATGCTAGCAACTTACATTTACTACCTAGGTGTAGATATTAAGTGAAATTTAACTAAAGCAACTTAAGTGACCATTAACTAGGATTAATTGGTTCAGTGTTCAGTAAAATGTTTAGATTTTGATATAAATAGTAACTTTAAAATACTTAACAAAATTTAGAAAATTGACAAAATGGTAAATAAATGATAAAAAACGTTTTTGTATAATACAATTTTACAACTTCACATCACTAGTCCTATTACATTATTTAATTAGGTGTACATATTAGATGTGTAGACTTCAAAATAAACGAGTTTAAATGATCTCATTCATCTGTTTAAAATGTAAGAAAAAACATGTTTATATTTTATTTGATCATCTATTTTTCAATATTTTCAATGAGCTTGAACATTAATTGGGTCATTCATTTTAATTCAGAATATAAATTTCACATTGAAAATTTAGGCTAATTAAGTAATGAATCTAATCACTACAAATTAAATTCTAAGATAATTTTGCTAAACTACAAAATATAAAATATAATATAACAAATATACTGTGATGACCTCTTTAAATTATACATTTTAAGATTTCCTCTTAAATAGGATTCATAAAATGTATTAATAATTAGTAGGACTCAGATTTAAATGTCCTAAAAAATATCAAAAAATGCAATATAAGAGTTGTTATATGTTTGAGGAGTTACCAAATAAAACAATTGATAATCAGTATTGATGAAGAATACCAAAAAGCTACTTAATTTTATGAAAATAAGATATTATGAACTACTACTTAAATTTAAACTATTAATGATTATAGGTAATACATAATAAATAATATATAATATATATTATATAATACAATAATATGTACTTAAAACTAACAAAATTACAGAAAAATGCTACATAAATAAAAAAAAAATGGAAAACTTAGTGAAGGTTTTGTATTAAAACAGTAAGAAAAAATTAATTTTGCATTAAAATTCCGAATCCTAATAATTTGTACTAGCCCATTTTAAATTTGATTTTTAGGTTTATTGGAGTTTAGAAATATAAAAAAGCATAAAATATTAATAATTAAACAACATTTATTAACTTTGGGATAGTGTATTTATTAACCAATGCACAAATCAAATAAACTTACTATTTAAGAAAATAATGATAATTCATAACATAGTATTAATGTTTTAGAAATAGCATGTTAGTTTCTGAGCATTAACACCAATGATTGATGTATGCTTTCCTTTTATCTATGAACAACTTTTCTAACAAATATTCCTATCAAAAAATATTTATTTTATTTTATAATTAGGTGCAATGGAGGTAGTTTTTATAATAACTGGTAAAAATAAAGAAATATATAGCAAGAAAAAAGTATGGTGGAGTATGGTAAGTACTTTGATGCAACTTTATCAAAAATAAAAGAACTGAAATTTTCATAGAATACTATATTATTTTTCAATAGGAATGCATCAGGTGGCAAACAAAACCAGTCAAAATTTGTGCATGTCTATCCTTTTTCCCTCAATTTCAACAATCAGTTACACCACCAAGTATACATAAAGAGCTGTATTAACACATTTAACTATCCATACACATCAAATGACGCTTTTACATATTAGTACATAGAAAATAATTGTTTTATAGCACAACACAGATAGCTGATGTAATACAGTAATTTAAGTAAAATTACATAGGGGTACAATGCATTGTCAATAATTGAATAATTCAATTTTCTGATTGATGGGGACCAATTATAGAACAAAATAGTCATTCTATGGGAGTGCTAATGGCATGTTGTTCAGATCAATAACAATGCAAAACTCAATGCATTATCATTTTAAAAAAAAATAGTACAATAATGGACTTAACAATACATTTTCTTTTGGTTTTTGTACAGATTGTACAGTAGTTTCAGCAGAGTAAAATAATTTGAACATTTTACTAGTTTAATATAAGGCCTTCTGCTATATGAATTATAATAAATGGTAGACATAATTATTGGGAAAAATTAACTATGTTGAATAGTCTTCTTTCATAAACCTATAATAATTTTGATAAACAATGTAAAAATTAAAATATTTCACATTACACAAGCTTCGCTGAGAATCATTATCGTTGTACACAAATATCAACAAACATAATTTCGTCCTACAGTTAAAATCCCATCGAACAATATTTTCTTTCAAGTGTAAACCAAACACCTAAGAGTGTATATTATTTTTTCTATATCATTACAACAAAATAAATGTTGTGAATTAAAATAAGAAGAGAATTTGGAAGGAAAATCACAAAATAATAACATTAATGAAAAAAATAGTATTATACGTGTTTTATTTGTTGATGTTCGTTCAAATGCAAACACAATGTATAGGCGGGCGGCTAATGCTTTCAGTTGGGCCAAATGGATTTTGTAGTCATAGATGCAGTAAACAAAATTATTAAAAAAAATTACAAAGTAAAAGATATAAATTATAACTTCATATAAACCTAAGTTTGAGAAAAATATTTTCCAAATATCAATGCATTATAAATACATTCCTTAGGAAAAAAAATTGTGTAAATTATGTCATCCCTAATATTATTTAGTTACATTACTATAAACAAAATTTAAAAAATTGTTGAAAATAAAAAATAAAAACAAAATTATCATGATATTGAGTAGTAGCACAACACAATTTTTTCCTGCGGAATTCTTTACGATGAAAACAAGGTTGTAACAGCCACTTGGATAGTATTAGAAGTTGGGATGGTGTTTTACACCTATGCGAACTTCCTTTTGACCTAACTGAAGGACGTGTGTGCGCTACTGCTACGCCTATTCATTTCTTCTTCTGGGCTTTTTCAGCGGCCTTTGTTACTTTACCCGCAGACGGATCCTTGAAGTTCACACTCTAAAATACAAAAACAAGAAATGAGTTATCAATATATAAACATTTATCTAAAAATACATAATATGTACATTTGAACAATGTTTACCTTAATGACACCAACAGCAACAGTTTGTCTCATGTCACGCACAGCGAAACGTCCCAAAGGAGGGAACTCTGAGAAAGCTTCAACACACAAAGGCTTGGATGGGACCAAGTTGATGATGGCAGCATCTCCAGATTTGATAGCTTTTGGGTTTGCTTCAGTAGTTTTACCAGTACGACGGTCACACTTTTCTTTGATCTCTGCGAATTTGCAAGCGATATGAGCAGTGTGGCAATCCAACACGGGAGTGTAACCATTGGAAATTTGACCAGGGTGGTTCAATACAATAACCTAATAAAAATGACATATTAGCATGAATTTAAAATAATAAAAATCTACTAATTTATTTACCTGGGCAGTGAAATCGGCAGCACCCTTAGGTGGGTTGTTTTTAGTGTCACCAGCAACAAAACCACGTCTTAATTCTTTGACTGAAACGTTCTTTACGTTGAAACCAACATTATCTCCAGGAACAGCTTCGGTCAAAGCTTCGTGGTGCATCTCTACAGACTTAACTTCAGTGGTAATGTTAGCAGGAGCAAATACAACAACCATACCGGGTTTCAATAAACCAGTTTCCACACGACCAACGGGTACTGTTCCAATACCTCCTATCTTGTATACGTCCTAAAGTATAAAAATATAAATATATAATGAAAATGAATTAAAATTTGAAAAATATTTATGAATAATAGAAAATTGTATATACCTGAAGTGGAAGACGGAGAGCTTTGTCAGTTGGACGACTGGGTGGCAGGATAGCATCCAAAGCTTCAATTAAACATTTACCGTCAGCCTTTCCTTCTTTACGTTCAACATTCCATCCCTTGAACCATGGCATTTTTTCGGAAACTTCCAACATGTTGTCACCGTTCCATCCAGAGATTGGGACGAAAGCAACAGCGGCTGGGTTGTAACCAATTTTCTTAATATAACTGCTGACTTCTTTCTTAATTTCTTCGAAACGAGTCTAAACATAACATATATCAATTAATTCTACTCATTCAAATTATAATAGATTAATATTAAAAACGTACTTCACTGTATGGTGGTTCAGTAGAATCCATCTTGTTCACACCAACAATCAATTGTTTCACACCAAGAGTGAAAGCCAATAAAGCGTGTTCACGGGTTTGTCCATTCTTGGAAATACCAGCTTCGAATTCTCCAGTACCAGCAGCAACAATAAGTACAGCGCAATCGGCCTGAGAGGTACCAGTAATCATGTTCTTGATGAAATCTCTGTGACCAGGTGCATCAATGATGGTGACGTAGTATTTGGCAGTTTCGAATTTCCATAAAGCAATATCAATAGTGATACCACGTTCACGTTCAGCCTTAAGTTTGTCCAATACCCAAGCATACTTGAAGGAACCTTTTCCCATCTAAATTGGACACAAAACCATTAGTACCAAAATAAAAAATAAAGCGATAATAAAACAAAATACTTACTTCTTGGGCTTCCTTCTCAAATTTTTCAATTGTACGTTTGTCGATACCACCACATTTGTAGATCAAATGACCAGTTGTTGTGGATTTACCAGAATCTACGTGTCCAATGACAACGATGTTAATATGTACCTTTTCTTTACCCATGATTTATCTGGAAAAAAATTATATTAAAAATGAATAGGTAGAATTAAGTATTTTACTTAAATAATTTGAATATTAATTGCAAAACATCATTAAGAGTATTAAAATTGTAAACGTTGCAAAAATAAAGTAAAATGCAGAGTCAAATGTTATAAAACAGGAAGTGACAATAAGTTTTAATTGCAAACAAGAGAACAATTTAATTAATAATAATTGATAATTCGAAGTCTATAATTATTTTTGTTGAATGAAAAAAAAAAACACGACCTTTTAGATAACTGATACATATGTGCATCGTGCGTTAATCATAATAATATTATGCATTGAATAATATGCATTGAATAATATGCATAACACAATTCATAACCTATAAAAGATCAAATTCAATTTCTCAAATATCGAAATTTACGAATTGTATCAAAAAATAACCATTATTCGGTAAATCGATTCAGTATTGATTGATCAATAGCCGTTTAAATTTTAGTTGTTCGTGATACAATATTGTGTAATAACGAAATTTACCATCAATCCATTAATAGTACATAGTATACATTTGACAATACCATTATTAAAAGCTGACATGTCACAATATTTTCCGGTGGGCAGACTTAAATGTCGAAAAAAAAACTCACTGTGCCCAAACACTTAGGTACACGTGTGTGAAAACTCAACTGTCATCGCGTAAAAATTTCTAACAGTTGAATCTTACGGTTTTAAAGACAAAAAATTGAAGGAAATTTGGTATTCTTGGAACCCGAGGGTTAACGAACCCAGAAATGACGCGGCGGATCGTTAAAAAATAATAAGAGTGCGAAAAAACTGCATCGTGCTCTCCTAACCAATATCAGTGACATGTGTCACGGGACAATGGTACCAACAGACCGGGGGCCGGCGAATGCATCACACACACACACATACACACCCATACCGATTAATTCAAAAATTTACTCTGCCATAATTATAATGCAATTAATTTGCGTGTACACAAACAATAAAGCAATTTGAAGGCGATCGATTTGTATCGGGGACGAGAAGTTTATAATCACCGGTGAAGGGTGACACGAATACACGACCGCGTAGAACTACACGGTTCACGATTACAACCGGCAGTTGCCACATACGCAAAAAGAATGAACAAGCCGAACAAAAAGAACGGACGAAAATGTAGTTTTCGGATCGATTCGGGATGAAGCCCTTAACAAGGGGTGATCACGGACAATCGGTTCCTAGACGGATATCGATGAAGAGTCACCAAGACTATACAAAACAAAGAAAAACACCCACCGACGTATACCGAACGATGGACGGTAGCCGATAGAACAATCGCAAAATAACCAAACGTGAATTATATTAAATATTAAACATTTAAACCTCCGAGCGAAATAATAACGTCCACTGCGACCGTATGTCACACGAACGGTCACCAAATCCGACCGGACAGAAGTGGCGCACACGCGATGCGATTGAATAACGAACGGCCGGCGTCCGATTATGCAGACGCAAATATCAGTCAAACACATAATAATAAATCGTTACGCTTACCTTTATTAGACAGAATATAACAGGAATGCAAGATTCAAACGGATGAAAAATTCTCCAGTAGACGATGATAAAGTGAAACCGACACGGGCGGTGGAAAAATGTTCAGTGGACGAGCGGCACACACGACGAGAGCACGGCGAGCACGAAAGAGAGCGATCCGTGTGGAGCGCGCCTGGCTGAGTGGTGGTCAAACGGGAAACATGGCCGCCGGCTCACCGGTACCGACTTTCCGAAAATCCCGTTTCCCGACACCAGTACCGTTTAAAACCCAAAAAATATTACGGCGATTTCGTCCGTCAATTTATCTATCTGAAAATGTAATTTTCAAAAGCTATTGGCCGAATTTTTGGCTTTTTTTCAGCTCCCTTCTGTAGTTCTTGACAATGGGTTTGAGATTAATTCACCCCTCGCACCAGTGTTACCGTCTTACCGGCGCCGTCGTCATTACCAACTTACCGACCGGATGCGTATTGACGTATTATACCGTGTCCAGCGTCGTCAAACTCATTTTTTCCCATAACATTTTAACCTACGCATCCATCAAAATGTCCAATACTTCATTCTACACTATTACGAGTTCTTGTTTCACTCGTTATTAGGAGATTACTATTTTCGTATCGAATCTAAAACGCCAAAATTATCGTACGGCCACGGTGCATAATAATTACACCGTCGTCACACGTCATCCTCATCGTTGTCATTATCAAATTTTGTAGGCTGCACCAGCTGCACAATGCACTTTTGCTATCATTGTTCGTAAACCGCGTACCTATAATTATGTTTATAATACGCAAAGTACTCAAACCATAGAGTAATTATTACTAACTAGAGTAACCATTACTATATGGCTCAAACTGACATTTCCCCATAACCTTACGGGTTGAAAATCGCTATACTAAAAAAGTATTGTGGTATCTATAATTATTTATCTATTTTATTTAATCGTCATTCATAAGTTAATACTCGTTTTTTTTTTTTTTTTATGCGATTTTCACTTTGTCTGGACGGTTTTGGAAGGGTACCGTTATTATTCTCGATCAAAATAATCGAATATTCTGTAACTAAATAGAGAGGTAATTTTGTTATGTTATTTGTTCAAATCGTTGGTAGTGAACTAAATAAATAAAATATGATGACGTGCTAAGGTATGATAATATAGGTACATAATATTAAGTAGGTACCTAACACCTACTGTGTTTACTCGAAATCAAAAATTATACGATTAACTCGGTTAACCTTTAACCTTACCTAGTTAAAAGTGCCTAGATGCATACCTACGAGGTTATTTAGACGATTCAGAAAAATGATAAAAATCATAATAATATTATGAAATATAATAATAATAAGACGTCCTTTTAATCGTGATAAGAAGCGGCGATTTTCTGTCTTTCTTACACACGTGCAACATGGAAGTTTAGACGTGTTCTATTTTCAATGATTAATTTAATGAAGAGATAAGAATTCTGAAAACAAATTTGAATTGGTCGTGAAGTCTATTTGAAATCGACCTTACCACCACAGACGTATTGATTTTACAGATGTTTATTTATTTATTTTTTATATATATTCTTTGTACAAAATTTCTACCAAAAATCTTGTTCCGAAATATCAACTATATTTTTTTTATATAACATATTTTATCTGGATGATATTTTAGGAAGGCAATTTTTTTGATATCCCAAAAGTTTTCACGACAAATGGGAAAAACATGTTAAAAAATGGGAAAATATATACATTATCAATCAAATATTAAAGAAAATATAATGTATTATGTAATTATTTTACCATAATGTGACATATAAATTGTTGACAAAGCAACACTAATTAATCGAATTCTGCTTGGAATCGTTTTTCGTTAGCAATTGTTAATCATTGCATACAGATAAACATTAAATTTTCCCTTCACCTTTCCAATGACCCACCCACGTTTACTTAATATGGTTTTTTTAGAATTTTAGGGGATGAAATGTGAAAATTGCGGGCGAGTTGATTTCAAATAAACTTGACGACAAATTTAAATCTGTTTTCAGAATTCTGGTCGTTTCACTAGACCAACCAATACGTTGGAAATAGAACCCGTCTAAACTTCTATGTTATATGACAGAAAATCACCGCTTCGCCAATCATCTTTAGGTAAAAATGTATTTTAATTGATAGAATATAATACGACTGAAATAATTAATTTATTAGTTTTATCGATTATAATTGTAAATGTTCAACTGCAGTCTTTGAGCGTTTATCTCAATAAAATAAATAAATATTATTTCACATATCCGTATCCATTAGATTAGACATAACAATATTATATTATTATATTCCAGGGCCTATTTTGAGTAATTTTTCGTTTACCTACAAATTTTGGGCAAGCAGTACCGCACCTTATATCCCCCTCCCCTATCGGGGGATATAGGGTATGCAAATAAATTATCTACAATAATACAATATTATATATTTATATGGTACGTATTCTTCCTACCAGAGTAATCCTACTGGATCCAGTAAATAGTAAACAATCATACATTTTAAAACTAAATAAATTCTAGGATAGGCCACTGTTATTAAATATGATTAATAATTAGTTAACCTCTTTATAATAGGTATTTTGTACATAGGTATCAAAAATCTAGTTAGTTAGAACTAAGCCAAGCCTACCACAAATCAAGTCATCATTAAATAATAAGTACTTAAGTACATATATGTAGGTACATATTCAATCATTTATCAATATAATGATATAAGGTTTCAGCCCCTCAAAATATGTTGACTATTATGCGAGTATAATGAAGGTACTGGTTTTAGGAATTATATTTTCCAATTAGGTCAAATAGTAAGTACTTACACAAAATATTCAATAAAGCTTAAAAAGGAATTCGTTTTTGTTACTCACCCAACCTACTGCACAAAAGAACTATTATTACCTAGTGCAAAGACCAAATTATTTTTCATATTCTTGATTTTAGAATGCCAATAATTAATTTGCTTGAGAAATATACACATGTTACAGGTTTTCATGAATTATTTATTAGTTAGTAGTGTACCTAAATTTCATAAATAAATAAACTCGCAAATTAATTAATCCAACTAAAATTTGATACTACTCTTACCTACTTAGAATTTATGTTTAAAACTAAAATCATAAAAAAAAGATAAATAGGAAAAAAGAAAACATGTGTTTAGTCATGCACATCATTAAGCTTATCGCGCCATCCGGCTACCGTACACTGACATTTTGTCGTGACCATGTAATGTAAAAGAGTATATGCTCTTCTTCACGCCACTAAAATAAATTCCTGTCTGGTTTTTGCATGTGAAAAAAGCCTAACAGTGCTAATGGACCTTATTATTTGTTTAATATTGAAATATTTAGTTTAATCTATTACTAAACAACTTTTGTTTTTAGTTAGGTACCTACTTATATACTTATCTAGTATGTTAAGTCATTTGTTTTTAGTAAAAATATGTTTACAAAAAAGATATAAAGAGATTGTAAACATAACAAGGTGGATCCATTTTGGGCTCTGTAAATAATAACAATAAATTATAATTTTTAATTTACTGTATATTCATTAAACATTTAAGATACTCTAGTCAAAAAGATAAAAGTTTATAATATAAAAACATAGTATATGCTATTTCAGTACAAGGTTCAATAATCATTTAATTTAGAAAAAGAAATAGAGAATGGCCCTTAAATTAAATTTTTTTAAATTAAAATTAGGATTGCCTAAACTCTAGGTCTAACACAACACATTTATATATGTAAATAACAATTACACTGAAATAAATTGTGTAGGACATAATATTATAAGGATTTGAATATTTAATTTTAATATACAGTTTTCAAATTTCTATGATTAACCTTTTTTATAAATATATTTAATTAAACAATAATATAAATAATAATAAATAAATAAATATTATATCACAATTTGTAAATACATATTTTTTAACAAAATTAAAACATAATACTTAATATTTCTGAAATAATTAAATCACTTATAACAATATAAAACTGGATAATATGTAAATAAATTAAGCTCCTTGGGACCATGCAAACAAACTAGACCAGCTTGAATTTTGGTCTCCTAATGTTCCTAAATTACACAAGATATTATTAAAAATATAAATTAAATGAAATTACCTATAGTAAATAATTTTACCTTTAGCAATAGTTTCTACCTGCTTCTGTTCATCTGGACTAAGTTTGAGTAGTTTATTCATCACTGGTACTAAATGACATTTTTCAACTCCGCTCGATAAAGTAATAAACTGTTAAAAAAAATTCAAATAATAATTACTACTAATGATTAAGATTTAATATCCAAAATATTGATATACCTTAATAATTATATTTTTTAAATATTCCATATTTTGTATTTCAGCATGTCTATCTACGCTACGCTGTAATCTTCTAATATCTTCTTTGAGAAATTTATTTTGTTGCTCATACCGAGAACAATTCTTTTCAGCTTCATGTAACATCAAAGTCAATTGTTTCAAATGTTTTTGGTTGATGTTTAGTTCACAAACTGGATCACCAACTAATAGAAAAATAAAATCATATAATTATAAATATTAATAAAATTATGTAAAACATAAGTGGATATTTATTTACCACTGTTATTATCAAATGATAATAGATCTTCTAAAGGCATAAGTGTTGATTTGCAGTTTTTTTGTACCGATTCATTTGAACTTGCAAAATCTGAAAACTAAACATTTTTATGATGTAAATCATAGTCATATAATATATTTATATAATATTAATAAATTATTGTATGTGCAGTTACAAAAATACTAACCATTTCATCGTCATCATGAATATGACTTGTAAAATTGGATTCTTTATGTTTATTTTCTATTATAGGTAGTTCAACATTTGTTGGTGTATTTAAATCTTTAACTAAAGTAATTTCTTGTTTTAGTCTTTCAATTTCCTTTTCATATACTAATACTTCACTAGAAATTTTTTCCTAGAAATCAAAATAAATGTTTTTTTTTTTTTTATTTTATTTTGAAGTTAGTATAATTCTTTAATTTGTATTTGACTAACATTGAAAGAAGCCTTTTCTTTTTCCAATATTGATTTAAGATTATCAATTTCAATGTTTAAACGATATATTTCTTTGTCTTTTGATAAAGATATTTTTGTTACATTACTTATCTTCTTTTCATACTTATCCATTTCATTTTTCAACATACTTATTTCTGTATTTTTAGTTGACAACTCTGATCTATAAAAATATAGATTCAAATTTTTCAAAAAAAAGAAGGAAGATTTTTTTTAAATTTACAAAATACTCACGATACATTTTGTAGATTACTTTTACAGGAATTTAAAGCTTTAGTAACTTCTTGAAGTTGTTCACTTAATTCAGTCACTTTTGCATTGAATACAGTGTCTTGTTTATGTTTTTGAAAAACACTATGAGCTCTTACTTTATATGCTTCAAATTCATCAAGCAAGCTTTGATTTTCCTCCATATACTTAGAAATCGAATCATTTGCTATTTTTATATCTACTTGCAATTTTCGAACCTTATTAAATTAAATAAACATACATTAAAATTAAAAAATATTGTAATTACAAAAATTATAACCAATAATACTTTTTCATTTAACTGTGAGTGTTGTAACTGATAAGTTACTTTTTCAGTTTCATATTGTGTTTGTAATTTTTCATATTTATCTGTTAAATTTGTGTTTAATATCTTTTCTTGATTTAAAGATTCTTGACACTCTAATAAATTATTTTCTTTTGTATTTAATAATGATTCAGCGTTATTCAATCCTGTTCTAAATATTTCTATTTGATTCTAAAATTTAAAAATTATAAAAATATAACTTGTATAAAATCATGTTATTGAAATTATTAGTAGTTAAAATAAAAAAGTAATAATTAAAAAATAACATTTTAAATTATCACTAAGAAATTAAAATGTGTACAGCTCTAATGAAAAATACATATTTACTAAGCAATGAATAATCATAGCTGATTTATTAGATATGAATAAATATTATAACATTTTTGAAAATGTATACTGTATAACAAAAGTAAATAATACATGAACATATGAAGGCTTGTGCTATGATACACAGGAGCAGTGCACCACCTACAATTTTAAAAACTATATATTATTATATTACTACAATATACAAATGTATTATTATTTATTATTATCATAATATATATATATATATTATAAACTAGAAATGTATTCATATTTATTTTGGAGACAAGAATAGTAATTATTTTATAGTTAAAGAAATATTTAATGCGAAAAGTTGAGAAAAATTTATGTTGTCGCACATTAAAGGTGTCATTGCACACAATACGCAATGGCAGCAGTCATGGAGTATGGACAGACAAATACAATTTTTGCACCAGTCGCACATGTGCATTTGACTGTTTCATTCCCACTACTGGCAAAACTACCATTAGACTTAGTGGTGTGTTGGTGCACAAATGAATATTGCATTGATGCGGTCGTACAAGCGTCTGTCGGAGCTGACAGAACATATTATGCATTGGGAACTAATTATTTTTTTTAAATAATATTAAATTTGTCCAACGATAATCTCGTTATCTCCAAAAATACTCAATAGAGTACACTGACCGACCCAGTAAACATTCAATTCTTAAATAATATTATTTAATTTAACAGAAACAAACATAATTCCCTAATATATTGTAGATTTCTATCCAGAAGCATCCTATATAAAATAAAAACAAATATATTTATATGTTGATAAAATATTTGTTTTAATCTCTAATTTCTGAATCGATTGTACTTATTGTGTACAATTTATTAAATGTGCACCACCAATTATTTTACCCACAAGCCGCCACTGTATAAAACTTAAAAAAACTTTATTAAAATAAACATTTTATTTCTAACATAAATACTTCACTTACTATATTTTGTTTATTTCGTTCTTGTTCAGTAGTAATAATATGTTCTAAATGTTTTATTTGTTCATGTAAAGAATCAATAACATTATTAGCATTGGAAAGTTCCTGTTCTAGATTTTGACTATGTTGTTTTTCATCTTTTACTTTTTGAGATAGTTCATCTAATGTTTTCTAAAAAACCATAAGATATAAAAAAGGAATTGCATAATTTATTAATATACTACTTACTTCATAAGAATTTAATTCGAGATCACGAATATTAATTTTTTGCTTATCTGCTTTTAATTTGTTAAGTTCAATTTCCATTGATTTTACTTTATCCTTTGTAACTTTTAAATTTTTTGTAAGTTCTTTGATAGAATTTTCACGGTCTGCTTTAAGTATTTCGGCAGCAGATTTTTCTTGTTTAAAAATGTCAATTTTGGAATTTAAAGATTTTTCTGTTTCTTTTAGACTACAATTTATAATAAACAAATATTATTAAAAATTAGAAAACTAAAAATATTTTATTAAGAATTAAAAATATAAATAAACATTTTTGAAATAGTTCAAACATACTAATTACCTATTTATGGACTTTTGAGCACATGTTAAGTTGTTCTTTAAAGTTTCAACATCAGATTTTAAATCGGTGCACAATTTAGCCTGTTCTAATAATTGATTCTCTTCTTCTTTTAACTTTTTAACTAATTCATTGATTTCTTTACATTTGATATCATACTCATCACATTTGATATCATATTGTTGTTGTAAACACTTAAAAATAAAAACAAATTATTTAAGTATTTTTACATCATAAATTCTTAATTCTTAACCACTAGTACACAATGGTTATCATATGTTCTAAATTTTTTGTAGACAAATTAAAACATGGTAACTTATATAATCATTTGATAATATAAGTTATTTACATTAAAAATATGAAAACACTTTAAAATAATACAATAATTTACAAACAATGATTTACTAAATATTCAAAGTATACTCGATTTTTTAAATAATTCTTACTCGAGCAAGTTTGCCTTGTTCAGCTGACGCTGTAATCTTATTTACTAACTCATTTCTTTCTAAACTATGCTTCTTGATTTCATTTTCCAAAGACTGTTGTAAATCAGCTATTTGTTTTTTTTGTTTTATAGCAATAGCTTTCAACTAAAAAATCAAATTATATTAATTTTTAATCCTTCAATGGTTATTAATTTTCATTTAAAATTTTAATTTCTTACCTTTTGTAAACGATCTTCTTGGCTTTCATCTATTTCACGTAATTGATAAATCTCATCAGCTTTACTAATTGATGTAGAACTCAAACTATCTATAATAATTTAAATATTAATATAAACAACAAGAATAATATAACTAATTTAATTTTAATAAGCACCAAAATTGTCTCTAAAATGTTGTAACTCATTTTCCATCTCATTATACAATAAATCTTTTTCTGTAATTTTTTCTTTAAGTGTTAATACTTCTGTTTTAAGTTCATTTATAACTATATCCTTATCAAATATTTTTTTATTTAAATTTTCAATTATTAATTTTGCATTCTTAATAAAATTGCTTTCACTTATATTTAAGTTTTCAATTTCATTTATTTTCTCAAACATAATATCTTCATATTGAGATACTAAAAGTTTTTGTTTAGGTAATATTTCAACTAAGTTAATGAAGTCCTTCACCTGCTCGTCACTTAAATTACATTTATTATTAATAATAGGACAATCTTGGGTTTGTATACAATTTGCATCTTCAGTAAACATTTTTGTTTCTGAAAGATTAGAACTTGTGATTTCATTTTTAATTATTTTCTGTTTGTAATTTTCTATTTTCTCTTTTAATGTTTGAATGATAATTTCTTTTTTGTTTACTTCATCTCTTAAGGTTATCTCAGACTCCTTATAACATGATTTAAGTAATCTATATTCGGTTAAAGTCTGTTCAAACAGTTCAAATGCTTCATTTAAAAGCGGTTTTAATTTAAACGATATTTTGTTATCTACAATACTTTCGTTTTGATTTGCTTGAACTTTTACATATTTCTCAAAAATGTCATCTAAAAGTTTTAAAGCATTGGTAAAGTTGAATTGCAAACTACTGATATTATCAGATAATAATAAATTTTTAGAACTTAAATCAGAATTGTTTTCATTGAGGTAATTGATTTTACTATTTTGTACTTCAATTTCTTTTTTTAAATCTTTAATAATACACTTGAATTCGTTTTCTTCTTTTTGCATTTTTTGTAATCTTTGGACATAAACTTCACGTTCATTTTCATAATCCTCCATTTGTTTAGAAAACAATTTAACTTGTTTTAATAGTTTGTTATTTTCTCCTTCCATTTCAACATAATTATTTATTTTTTCCTTCATTTCAGTAATACTGTTTTCCAATTGGGTAATTAAATTTGCCTGTTCATCAAATGCTAATTCTTTTTTCTCACAGTGATTTTCTAAAGAGATGTTTTTCTGTATTAATTCATTACATTGTTGGCTTATTTTACTCTTAGCTTCTTCTGCTTTTAATTTTTCGGTTTTTAATTTCTCATTTTCATTTTCTAGTGATTTATATTTGATAGTATTGCATTTTATCTGTTCTCTAAGATTTTTTATTTCTTCATCAGCACAGATTCTAAATGCCTTTTCGTTGTCCAAAGTTTTCTTTAATGCATCTAATGCACATTTGTTACTTAGAAGTTTTTTTTGTAAAGCATCTATTTCATCATTTTGTTGAATATTTAACATGTTAATTTTTTCTTTTTGCTGATTGATAACTGATTCAGCTTCTTGCAGTTCTTTATTTTTCTTCAGTAATTCCTAGAAATATCAGTTTATTTTAATAAAAAATATTTTTTTAGCTTTTCATTAGAATATTAAAAAGTATAAGTAATATTGTTTTGATTTTTATACTAAAGAAATATACAAACTAAAATCCGTACCTGACTTTCAGAATGTTTATAAATACGCTGTTGATCAACAAACTTTTGCTCCCACATTTTTTCTTTATTTTGTAATTCTAATTGAAATTAAAAAAGTTAATATTCATCAATTTTGTAGATTTTATATCATAAAGACTTAATTACTGAAAATTTTTATTAACATAATGAAAATTGATAAGTACCTTCATTTTCTTTTTTTATTTGAGTAATTTCATCTTGAAATTTGTTCCAAATATCTTCTTTGGATAATTTTTGTAAAACCTGTAAATATGTTTAAATATGTAATTTTATATATAATATTATAATATTTATTTGTAAATGAAATAAAAATATTTTAAAAAATTATTTATTTCACATACATCATCAGTATCATTTGAATTACGTATTTCCATAATAATTGTTAATCACGGTTTAAAATGTAAAACTAATACATAATTTAAACATAAAATAAATACATTAAATTAACTTGTACAAATAATAATTTAATCGAAATAATTGTCACATAAAACTGAATTATGTAGTTATATGACTAATAAATTATGTATAGAAATTATGGTTATCATTATTATTAAAAAATGTTATCAGATTAACTTAATCACAAAAATATTATAATATTATTGTACCAGCTACTGGTACCTGTGCAACAACCATAGACAATCTCATAAAACGCGGTTGATAACAAGTGATAACAATGTTGTGAATAAATAATAACAAAATTGACAATTTGGGAGATTGATAATTTGATATACTTTTTTAATTTTGAGGAAAACAACCTCACTCTTTTTGTTTGGGAAATTTTTCTTTATTGGTCATGACGGAATAGATTTGAAGTCTATTTTGTCATGGCAATATGGGATTGCGAACACTATCACTATCCAGTTTTACCAGTCCAGCATCTGGTTCGATACAGAACAAATTATGGACAAGTATGCAAGTCATAATTTTTCATTTATTCTTTTGATTTTTAATATAAATTAGTCACTAATGTTCGTATTCTTTTTGTGTGTATATTAGCTTAGTAATGTTCATGTCAACTAAGGCTGCAAAAATACCACTGTTACTATGTATTAGGAAAACAAAGTGAAAATTAGTAAACGTTGATGAAATCATTGAAATAGGATTAATTATGAAGACTAAGAAATTACTAGATGATAACTCTTTAGATTCTAAATTACCATTTCCAAGTTAGACAATTACATTATATAAATATTTAAATTTATTAAAAGTTAATTTGTTTAATGGATAATTTTTAGAGTTGTCAAATTGGTTTTATGTCATTATAGTGGCATGTATGTCTGTACTGTGCTATAGTAACTCGTATTATGGTGCATTTGTGTTTGATGATTCTGAGGCGGTTGTAAACAATCATGATGTAAATCTAAAAACGCCTTTGATTAAGATTTTTAGCCATGACTTTTGGGGCACCAGATTAACAAACCATGCCAGTCACAAGTCATATAGACCTCTTACAATATTGTCATTCAGGTACACCCATCATATTTCTATAAAATATTCTATTTCAACATAAAAATAATAATTAAATATTTTATCGTTTTTAGGTTTAACGTTTGGGTAAATAATGGAATTTTGTCTCCTAAAGCATTTCACCTAACCAATATTATTTTACATGCATTTGTTTCTTGTCAGTTCTTATTTGTTTATAATTTATTATTTAATGGAAATGCACCTAAGACTTCATTCCTAGCTGCCCTCATGTTTGCTGTGCATCCTGTTCATGTTGAAGTGGTATGTAAATGTAATCTTATTAAATATATTGATTGTATTATCAAGGAAGGTAAAGCATTTGATTAATGATTTTCAGGTGTCTGGAGTTGTTGGTCGTGCTGATTTACTTAGTACATGTATATCTCTTTTTGTTTTCATCATTTATCAAAAAGCTGCAAAAACCAAGCAAATAACTACAATGACCAACTTTATAATTACATTAATTTGTTGTATTTTAAGTTGTATGGCTATGCTGTGTAAAGAACAAGGACTCATGATCATGGTAAAACTACTACTATTATTATTATATTAATTAAATTTAAGAAAATAACTAAAATAACATATTATTACTATAATTACAGACATTCTGTGGTGTTTACGAAGTGATTGTAATCAACAAAATTACATTTCACAGTTTAATGAAACATGTTAAAATCTCAAAGATGACTAAATTATTTAAAAAAGAATCATCAGAAAGGTTGTTTTTCTTAGTAATGGGTTTTTTTTTAATTCTTTATGGCAGATGGACTGTTATGGGATCACCTCCTGTTTTCCAACAAATTGATAATCCCGCGTCATTTTTAAAATCTCCAATTGAAAGGGTATATATTAAACTAAAATTTTATTTGTATTTTATATCTAAAAGTTAATCATTGCAACTAACTAGAAATTCAAACATTTTTCAGATAATAAATTATAGTTTCATCTATATAATAAATATATGGATATTGATATGTCCTGTTTGGTTGTGTTTTGACTGGTCAATGGGTTGTATATCTTTGATACAATTAAATACATTTCCTAAAGATCTAAGAATGTTCATTGTTTTTGGATTTTGGACTATTCTTTTATTAGTAATTTATAAACTTTTTTTTTCGAAGAACTATGATAAAAACTTTGATAAAAAGTATATTTGATCTGTTATAAAAATGAATATCAATGTTTAATGTTTAAATAATAGATTTTTTTTTTTCTAGACAAATACAAATGGGATTTTTATTAGGCCTATTGTCATTTCTACCTGCTTCAAATTTAATGTTTACAGTTGGTTTTGTCATTGCAGAACGAGTTCTATACTTACCTTCAGCTGGTTTTATCATAATTGTAGTCTTGGGTATCAGACGATTATGTTTTAACTCTTTTACTCAAAAAGTAAATGAATTTATAAATTAAATAATATTGTGTATAATTAAATACTTTACTTTATTATGTTTTAGGTAGTTGGAATGTTTATTATTTTGTTGGTATATATGCATTCTGTTCGAACATATAATCGCAGTAAGGATTGGAATAATGAATTAAATTTGTTCCAAAGTGCTTTAAAAGTTTGTCCGATGAATGCTAAAGTGCATTATAATTTAGCCAAAAGTTTAGCTGATATTGGAAAAACAGAGGAAGCTATAAACTGTTATAAACACGCATTATTGTAAATTTTTATATAATTCATGCAAAGTAAAACAAAAATTATGAAATGTTATAATACTTATTAGATTACATCCAAATTATGATCAAGCAATGAACAATTTAGCAAATATTTTGAAAGATCAGAACGAGCTGGAAGAAGCTAGATTTTTATTAGAAAAAGCTGTTACAATTAGGTAAAAATAAAATGTCTTGACTATTTTAATTATCCAATATTTTGGTTTTGAAATTTGTTTTTTGTATATTTTTGGAATCAATCTCTATGATGCTAATATTAAAAATGATATTTCCCAGTTGAAAATGTATGTTTTTAATATTTTTATTCTAGAATAATTAACAATCTAATAACAAAATAATTGTTTTAATTGTTTAGGTATTTATTTTAAATTAAGTTTTTATAGGTTTAAATGTTAAATGCATTTTTCATAAAACATTTTTGTTTTTATATCAATATACTATGTTTTGTTTTTAAGCTTTAACAAATTTTGCTTAACATCTAATAATAAAATAACACAATACCACCTAATCCAGTAACCCGTCAATTATAATACTAAACTTTTTTTTCTATTATTTTTAAAATAAATTGCATAGCTTTCTTTACTTTAATTTTTGTATTTTCAGTTTTTAATATTAATTTATAATATATACTTAGAATAATTAATTAATATATATATAAATGTGTTCACTTTAAGGAATGATTTTGCTGCTGCTTGGATGAATTTAGGTATTGTTTTATCTGCTCAACAAAAATACATTAAAGCAGAAAATGCATATTTAACAGCCCTACAACATCGTAAAAGTTATCCTCATTGTTACTTTAACTTGGGAAATCTTGTAAGAAAAATTATATACGAAAAATTTTATTGTATAATGTATTTTATGTTATGTTTAGTATTTAGAGATGGGAGAGAATACTAAAGCGTTATTTGCTTGGCAAAATGCTACATTTCAACAGCCAACACATGTTATTTCATGGAATAATATGATTGTACTGTTAGAGTCAATTGGCCAATTGAAGCACGCAGAACACGTTGCACGCACTGCTCTATCCATTTTACCAAATGAACCAAATTTATATTTCAATATAGCAAACATATTGGGTAAAATGGATAAGTTTGTAGAAGCTGAAAAACATTTTCTAGCTGCCATTCAATTAAAACACTTGGCTTCTAAGATTCAAATAGTTGCTTTGTATCATTCCAATTTGGGTAAATAAGATCAATATATTTACATTAAGAATTAATTTATAATAAGTTTATTTCTCTGTAGGTGTCTTATATCATCGCTGGGAAAAATATGATCTTGCCGAAAAACATTACAAACAAGCATTAAGAATTGATCCAAAAATTCAAAAAGTTAGAAATAATCTTGCCTTACTTTATAAACAATTACAAGAAATAAATCAATCCACTCTTAATACCAAATCTAATCAATATGAAAAAGACTTATAATACTTTGTGAATGAGAAAGTTGTTATATGTTTGATTATGATATGTGAGTATTTTATTGAACGCATTCCAAAAGACATCCATAATCTAACATTAATATAATATTTCAGTATTATTGAATACATTAAGTTATACTTTTTTTTTAATACTAGTTAGGTACAGTGAAAAACTATGGTTGTGATTTTTTTTTTTATATATATATGAACATTTAACATAAATCTATTGTGTTAAGATTGTATTTATGGTTAAATAAGACGTTTTAAAAAATTGAGAGCACATTAAGTATGCATTTATCATCTCGTACAAACAGGCAATACAAACAAAATGTGTTCTTATAGTATTTCCAGGCCTCAATGTTTATATAAACATATGTTGGGCCCCAAATAAAAATGAAAGCTTTATAAAATGTTTATAGAACTGTTTTGTTAATATATAGGGTTAAACAACCCTATTTTATTTTATTTTAAATTTGCGTTATAAAAAATACTTTCAAAAAATTGGCAGATGAAGATTTCAAAACAAACTGTTCTATAGTAATTTGGTAAAACTTCTCATGTTTATTTTATTACCAAATTAAATTAATAAGACAAGGTCTTAGTATGAAAACACATTTTTGCTATGTTGCCCATTAGATTTACAGAGATTGTGTTGTTCCATGTCATCTTAAGATCTATTAACTTAAGTGAATTAGTTTATAATTATAAATCGAAATTGTTGTAGTTTAAATACTTTACTTTTAAAAATGTAAACTTATTCTAATTACTATGTTACAATATTTGTTCCATTAGTGCAATACAATTTTTTTAAATAATTAGTTATTAAGTCAATGAGGTCATAGATTTATAATTGAAATTTAATTAGGTACTTAACATTAAATTAATAGAATTTCTATAGGTATGGCATACTTTTAAACATAATTAATTATTTTGTAATATTTTTATGTTAAATTATACAATTTAGAACAAATTTATTTGGTCAACTTTGATTAAATTTTAAGTTGTTTTTTATTTTATACCTACTGTATAACTATGGAATTTAGATTAATGACTATTTAGTCATTATTTTAACATGAACATATATTTAATTAAATTTATAATGTGTATTTTTTTTGGATTTAAGTAAAATGTATTTTGACATTGTTTTTGTATTCAAACATATTTTACCAGATTATAAATGTAGACAAATCCGACAATTTTACACAAAAATAAAAATTTTTCTTAATAATAAATTGCGTGCATATAAATTAATCGTTTTATTTATATGGCATCCGAGTAAATTCATATTCTATATCTATGTAAAGCTAGACAAATTAATTAAAATGCAATTTAATAATTTAGGAATGACTCATTCAAATCAAAAGTATATTGTCTGGGTATCATTTGTATTTAAATATCTATATTCAACAAGGTAAATTAACAATATTTATAAATGTACATTATTGAAAAACAAATATTATAAATAATGAATTTTATAGCGTTAATATTGGACAGGCGGAGGCCAATCAATTTCAATATCTAAAACATCTAAGGCTAATATGTCAACTGTATCATTGTCTAAAATTGTTCGAAGACAAGGGTGTGTACGACCGAAATCCCCATGCACAAATTCTTTTACATATGTACCAGCTTGGGTGGATATGATAACATTGAAAAATGAACATTTATTTTTTACTCCAACTTCAGTAGCTTCTGCTTTCATTGAGTGTATAGTTCTAGGCCTGATTATGTTAGCTCTTCTGTGCAATACTCTAACTGGCGTATACTGTGCAATTTCCAAAGGAGTACAACTATTAAGCTTTTCCAAGTCCAGTAACTTTGTTTCAGAATAACAAAGAGCCTTGTATACTTTAATTTTAAATTCTTCTCCAGATTTCAATTCTTTTAATTGATTTTTGGAAACATTTTGTAAATGTTTTACAGTTACTTGTACACCGATATTGATTTCATTTTCGATTTCTCTTAATACTTCATAACTGAATTTAGTTTTTCTTGGATTAACTAATTCAATAGCAAATGGTCTTCCTCTTCCTAACATCCTAACATCAATGTCCTCTCTACCTGATGATGAAAATCTGAACTCGTCGACCAATGCATGCTTTTTTATTGGCTCATATATTATTTCTTCAACAGAACTTTCTAGCCTTCTTTCTTTATCAACTATCCAAGGTGTTTGGGAAAGGGTTCTAGACCACTTGTTATAACGACCAGCTAAATACACACTTTCATGTCTCGAATCAACACTTTTGAACTCTATAGTTGATTCCGGTATAGATGGAATTTTTCCATATTGACTTATGAAATCGTTGTTATCTATTTGTGATAGAATACTTTGTAAATTTTTATTACTCAATTTTACAATTGTGTTCAGACAATCACATTCGTTTTTAATGTCTTTATAAGAGAAACTTACAGTAACTAACAATGGAGAATGAACGTCAAAACGTTTATTAGTGGATTTCATAATAGCATCTTCGGCCATTAATTTCCAAGCATCTTTGACGCACACAAAAGCTGTAGGAAATGTTGGATTAAACGATATTCTGGATTTTGATACATATAATGCAATTGAATGGCCACGAATAATGGTACACATAGGTAAATTAAACGCTAAATTAAATGTATCAGAATCATAATCTGATGTTTTCAAATGTGAAATTATTTTGTTAATGATTTTATCTTTTTGTGGATACTGAAATAATCCCAAACATGCTATACACGGATTGATTTTTTGACGTTTTGGTTCATCACGGTCTTGTTCTGATACAGTAAGTAACGTTTTAACATCTACAACAGATGGTTTAGTTAGGTGTCTGACAGCACATACCCGACAACAACCAATTTCCAAAAGCTTCTGTTGAATTTCTCCTGTATTTTGATCCATTTTTAATTTCTGTAAAGTAAATAGAAAACAAATTATGTAAAATAATTGTAACAAGTTAAACCTGGCTTATGTACTAGGTACTTTAAAAGTAGTGTTTTTAAATTTTACAAATTTTTTATAATTAATTATTTTTATTAGGTATAACATGATTTATTTAATATTAATAATTAGATTAAATTGACTTTGACCTCAAGTGAAAATATAATTTAACACCACAGCACCCAAGAAGAGATGAAAATGATTACATTAATATTATTAAGGTCAGATATTGCGTCATTAAAGAAGATATACACTTTTTAATAATATAACTATCATTTGCATTATTGTTTTTCATAAATCACAGTTTTGAAGATAAAAATTTAATTTAATTGGATTTGGTTTTATTTGCCATAAAGTTGTAAGCTATAGTTATTGTTTACATTATCATTGAATTAAATTGGTAATTGTTAATTTTTTTGGAATTGCACTATAATACTTATCAGTGCCTAAATAAATAATAGTGTTATTTAAATATCTACCACTTGTATTGAATATAAAAAAAAAAAAATTCTACTATATATTTTCAACGATAGGTACTCATCACACACCATATAACTATGAAAATATAATATTTTGTCACCGAAATAGAGTTTTGTGTAGTTAGAAAATTAAAAAGTCAGTTGTATTGATACAAAAATGCATTATGGAAAACTTTAAATTTTAGAGTGACAGAAAATAAATAGAGAAATGAAATGAATAATATCAATATATTATAATTATATCCTAACTACATTAATATGTGAAAATATATTTCACAATGAAATAGTTTTTTTTAAACAAACGACCCGTATGAAAACTTTTTGGATCCATATTATACCAATTCAAAATTCATTATTCTGATATATTTTTTTTATTCATTAAAAAGAAGGGTAACTCTTAAAATTAAAACGGCAACATAATATACTGAATACAACATAAATAGACCAAGTTTCAGTTTCGGATACATTTCGGCGTTGGCATCTTTCATTTCCATCAACCTGTCGGGTCGAGATAGGTACCTAAATGATTTGTAGTAGCAGGGTATATAGTTTTAACGACGGCGTATGGATCCGCTACAGTTTCTTCGCGGCAAAGTGGCTATAACTAAAAGTGATACCTCCTCCGTTTATCAAGGGGTTGATGGAAATTCAAAATTTCACTTCCAATACTACAGGATTGACATTTCGTAGGGAAATGGTATGTTGTCGCGTGATAATTTGAAGACCCTGTATATTGAGTAGGTAGGTACGTAAGACGAAAAATTGAGGGGGAAAAACACAACGAAAATAAATCGTTCGGAACCAGAGTGTTGAACAAGCGCGCGCGCATAATCGAGCTGGGCGGCGGCAGCGGCAGAGCCGGACGCCCTTGAGTTGAGGTCGTCCGGCGGCCACCGCGACAGCAACAGGCGGGCGTTAATCGTTCAAAAGCGTCAGTCGGCACTTTGGCAGCGTGCTCGTCCGGCGATCAAACACACAAATGTAGCAGAAGAGAACGAGGGCAACGACGACGACGACGACGGGCCGCCAAACGAACCGACCGACATGGACCGCATATTCCGGGGCATAATGAAGTACAGGCAAACGAACAGGAAGAAAATGGTCGAACAGTTTGTGCACGTGAAAAATCATCCGGAGGTAAGCCGATTGTAATGCCGAACGACAATCGTTATACAAAACGGATAATAGTAATAATAATAATGATATTCAACGTTCGTTACGTTATTAATTTCGTTGTCGAGTACGGTGAACGTTTACCTTGTTTGAAAAACGGACGTCATCTACGATATTCCAACGGCTGTAACTTCCAAGTTGTAAGAACTATTTACTATTTGGTAAATAAAAATATCGATATGTTATCAGAAAACGTGCGCGCTTATCACTTTCAGTGTTGCCAGGCCCCGACGGTGATAAATTATAGAACGGACCGGTATTAATTGTACGGTGCCCGTTTCTCGCTAATTTATTACCTATTATTATTAATAATGTTTTTAATATTAAATTATTATTTGACGAGTACCAGGTAGTGCCAGTATGAGGTAATGGCCTCGCTTAAAGTCATTTATATCCTCAAACGTTAGGCACGTTTCCATGAGAAAAATCCCTCTTCGTCAATATTGTAAAATATGCAATTACCATTCCAGGAATATGCAATTTATATGCGTTTTCGTTTAAATATTCAAAACTATACAAAAAAACAAAACACTTTAAATCGAATCGAATCTACACGTCACGAGGAAACGTCGACATTTTTAATCAACATTATTTTAGGTGAATACTTGTAGAACGCGCATTTGTATATAAATCCGAGCTCTACTTATTAACATTGGTAGATACTTATTATTATTATTTTATTAATGTTTTTCGTTTCATACACGATTATTAGACGAGTGTGTTAATTAATCCACCTTGAACGATGGAATAATTTGGTAATGGGTTAATAAATCTACGACTACCTGCAGTAGGTTGGGTTAGGTTAGTAATTCACGGTAAGTGGACCGTTTTTCTCCTTTTTCTGGTACTTATAGCTCATCGCGAGTGCACCCCCTCCATCCCAAGTCTGTGGGTATTATAGCGGTATAGGGTAAATTTTAAAATAAATAACGTTCACCACCAGTCTTTATTTTTCTGAGTAGATTTTATGAAACTGTTATTTTTCATATTGTTTTGTCGAAATAATAATATAATAATTAAGTAAAAATAATCAAAAATATTTTCCAAACGTTTGTTTGGTTTACGTCGGTGATTTTGCGCAGTGACAAGACCGCGTATCCAGACTCGAAACACAGACAAAATTCGAGATTTAACAGATAAATAGGTATTAGCTAGAAAAAAAAAACAAAAAAAGAGAAGAATACCTTGATAAATGTATACATAGGTAATCGTTTTTAAAATGTCAAAAAATTAAAATGAATAGATTACAAGGTGTTGACTTCATACATCTCTATACAATCATTTCGAAAGATAACATTTTTCTAATAATAGTAAATCGATACACTTCATTAATAAGTATGTTTTATATATTTCCTTAATTTTTTTTTATTTTGCGCCAATGCAATGTTTCTGTTTTTTTTTTTTTTTTTTTATTGTTTAACAAATTTCACGATCAACTTTTTACACAATATAACGAATAAATATTCGCGGTAATGACATTGGGGACTATATATTATACCCGCACATTCATTGTTCCGATAGTGAATTCGATTATAATATTTTTCGAGTTGATAATAATGAGGTGATTTATTTACACACACACACACAAAAAAAAAAACAAAAATTGTACACGAATTATCCACTCATTGAGCAATGCGAATATTGTTGTATACGTATTATTATTAAAATATAATAGAATCCAATACGTTTCCCACTATGCATTTACACACACGATAAAATTAATTGAAATATACACTACAATATACAATAATAATGTGCAATAATATACACTGCAGTATATTGTTGTCACTATCGCGCAAACAATAAAACAAACGAAACCGTACAAATATCGATTTTATTTAATTAAATTTTTTTTTTTTTTTTATCTGAGCCCTTCGAAACCCGATCAGATTCGGTTCAATATACAATATTTTATACAGTATATTTCAGAGATATAAATATTTTGCGGTGGAAATTTTTTTTTTTTTTTATACATTTATTTGACCTCTGTAACATTGCGCTACATTCGTGCTCGACGGTTATTTTATAATATAATTCGTTAAGTTCTTTATTATATACCTACACATATTATACAATACTATTAATTGGACCGTCAACGGGCGACCCTACGGGACATCTTAATAATCTTAATAAATCGTTGAATTTTTTTTTTTTTCTGCTCTTGATTTACCTCTTAGCGCCTGTTGGTTCTTATATACTATGTATAGAACACGCGTTTTAGTTCGGGAATTAAATATAATCAGTATGTGCATTATAATGTTATTATGCACTATTAATTATACCTCCTTGCTATGAATAGTTTTTTTCGGTTTTGGTCGAATTCAAAATTCCTATTAACTAGGTAAGTGCGTAGGTATTCAAATGTACCTTTATCTTGTTTGTTAATTACATCGCATATTAAAAAGGTCAAATAATTTATTAATCATGTTCCCAAATTATAATAATATACCTACCTACCTAATCATTCGGCAGTTTATTTTTGTTTAACTCGACGAGCTAAACTTGTGAAATTTGGTACACTAGTTAAACTGAAATCATTTTCGTAGGTATTTTCTTAATTTAATTCATTATTATTTTATTGTTTATAATATTATTGCTATACCTTATGTATATTTATTTTTTCAAAACATTAAATATAAATAATATAACTATTCCAATTGATGATGTTATTATCATACATTTAAAAAACGACTCTTGCAACACGAAATAGCTAGCGAGTGTTTAGCGAATTTTAAGACGTACGCTTACTCGAATAATTTCAATGGCCGGTTTTGTTGCAGTTTTTCATAATTTTCCGGGCATTAAACTAAGAATATTGATAAATTGTACTTTTCCAAAATACAATGGGTACTTCACTAATATATCTACACTGTGATGTCGCATTCAATTATTAGGTATACGTCCAATCAGTTATACATTTTATTCGCTCTATTCAGAATTTAAAACAAAATCTATCTGTAATAAATATCAAAATCGATTATGGATATATACGATTTTTTGTGTATCGTAAAATATGGACAACATAGATAACAACTGGGTAGCTCTTGAAAATGAACAATTTATTATAGAAGATAAGTTCATGTTTTTTTTCCTAAGTATTAGAACCGTTCCATTAACCAAACCGAACACTGACAATTTATTATTAACGAATCTCAGTTAAAAAAAATGCTCTATGTTTTTTTGTATCAAATAACATGCGTAGGCCACTGTTGTAGGCGGGTAGTTGGAATATAGGATTTATAATATACCTATATTATTATTATATTATAGAATGTAGAGTGATTTAGTTTAAATACTTTATGCAACGATAAGTCACTGAAGACGAAAAATATTATCGAGCGGAATAGTATTAGTCGTATTTTTTCACCCTTTATTGTCAAAAGATAAATCAGAAATCATCAAAATTTAAAAAAAAGAAAAAAAACCCGTTAAATAAAGGACCTATAGGGAGTAAACTGCTGAAAATGTTTTAAATAAAGTATTATCAGACGAATTACGCATATGGTTTTAGATATTACATGATAGAATCGGAACATTGTTACTGACGAATAATGTAGTTTTTCTGAGGCGGAAAACCCAGGTTCATCTCTGTTAAACTATTACTAAAACGTATAGGTACCTATTTAGATATTTCGTTGTGTACTCATATATATTTTATTTATTTAAAATATTACGGTCTATTTTGTTTACAATTAAATCAACATGAACAATTAAAAAAAAAAAAGCATTTATATATTTATATACGAATATTTTTTATAAGTACAGTAAGAAAATATACCTGCTATTTAACGTTGCAATAAAAAAAAAAAAATATAGGAGTGTTAAATTGAACATAATTGATACCTAATCAATTTTAGACCAATTAAAGTTTCTTTTTCTGTCAACGACATTAACGAGTAATTTATATAATTAAGATATTATGTATTATTATATTAATTCGAATTATATAATACTAATATGACTACGTCCAGCGGCGGCTCGAAGTATTTTTACCTCGAATCACCTATATAAATTGTCCACTCACCCACCCGCCCCAACCCAAAAATACCCCTACTCTACCACTAATGTAATGGAATTTGTTAAATTTCAATAAAATTTCGGCAGTCTAAAATTCTTTTAATGACTTTTGTATTGTAAAAACCTTATCATTTTTGTCATATTTCTGAACACCCACGACCCACTCACACGGTATATTGTGAATCGCGTGATCCAAATATACCTCCTTCGAGTACCCTATACGACTACGTCTACGCCAAATTGAAATATCCATGCATTTAATTTAAATAAAATAATAGCTAATTGTAGATAATAATAACGTTATTTATGAAAACTGCATGAGCTCTCGTGTCGTAAATGCGATTATATTTTAATCGACGCCAGGCCTTCATGTTTTTTAATTGTTTAGTACTTATACAACGAGTGCACCTGTAGGATATTTGACAATCCAGAAAACGCATACGGTAATCGTTAATAGTCAATCGAACGTGTCGCGGAAATAGTATGTGATTTTGGAACAACGCGCGTATATTGTCTCGGTTGTATAATATTATTATTAGTACCAAATGGCATTATAAAACACGAAACGCGCACTCTAACCATATTATAATATTATGTACCATACCAAGGTCATATAATACAACTGCAATGATGTCATTAAACGGACGTACGAACTTTACCAATAATAAAATACATGTGTTTAAAAAAAAAACTCGTTTTATCACCACTGATAACATAAACATACATATATATATATATATATATATATATATAAAATATATATTATTATTATTGTTATTATCAATACGATTGCCGGACTGCGCGATTCGTTCAAATTGAACTTGTAGCATTATTCGTACGAGTGTAGCGTCTAGTGTACCAACGAAAATAATAATGTTAGTACAAATAATAACAAGAGACCCGGCTGTACAATGAAATATTATAATAGTATTGGGATGCCTCGATCGGGCGGATATAAATTTTTTATAAAATATTTTAATACGATATTATGCACGCATTGAACTACCTATAGTTTAGACAAAAAATTATATCCGGGGGTTTAACAAAGTGACAATTATAACGTTTTAAATGGGACAAAAACGTATTAAATATAAACAATAAACGCCATCATTAGAATACCATTAAACAAAGCCTGTATCGATAAACAAAATAATAAACCTAATATTATACCGATAAACGGCACGTAAATAATCGTATTATTATAATCGTAAACAGAAAACGTTTTAATTTGGAATTTAAGACATATTATAGTATTATACATAATTTGTAATTATATTTATTTTTCATTTATCATCGTCGACTCATTAACGACTGACGAGATATTCCACTTCTAAGTTTGGGTAGGAGGAGAGTAGTGGAGCATCGTTTTTATGGCGAAACGACGCGATGGTCCCCACTATTTTCTCCCACCCAAAATTAAAAGTGGAATATCTCGTCGACTGGTTGACGAAAATTAAAAATTTCAACACCATAATACGTTTTATGTTAATACTCCGTCTATGTATGGAACTTTTAATATACGTTGCTATTTGAAAATCAGAAATACGTATTAGTTATAGTCGTTTCACCCCCAAAAATAAGGGTGACAAAAAATAATGAAAATATACATTTTTAGAGATAATTATTGTTGTTCAATTTTCTAAAAAAATAATTCCCAAAATTTTTAATACGGTCCGATTTATAATGAATTTATTCTTATCGATGATTGATCACTCTGTATACCAAAATTTGCTCGTCCACCAACTCAAAATACCGCGGTGGACCTTATATTATCTGATGCAGGACGGACACGTCGAAAAGTCGAAAATTTGCAGTTTTCCAGACGAGGACTGCAATAGTAGGCCATCACAGGAGGACGTACAAATTAATAGGTCGCCGTCTCCAACAGAGCTTCTTAGAAAGAGGAGCACCGCACTAGGATTATTATTTCTATCAACAGTACATATTTTCGGTTGCGGTGCCGAAAAACCGCAAACCTATTGGTAGTGGTTTAAATTGTGCCGGAAATGATAAAATGTATTCAATGATACGTGTCAACCGGTTTATGGAGCAAAAAATTAACGTGACGACAGAACAATATAATTTTCAAACGATACATATACTTGATAACTTAATAAAAACGCAAATGTTTTTATAAGGTGGTAATAAAAGCGATTGCATATAGATGCATACAATGCGATTCACCAAACGTGTAATATAATATATTTTTGTTGTTGCTGTTTTTTGACCTGAAATGTTTATTTCTAAACTTGTTTAGGCATTTTAGACTTGTGGGTTTTTTTTAGTTTTTTTTGTTAGATACTTGGTGGATAAAACTGTTTGGTTAAACAGAAATGTTTTAAAATTTAACATGAGGATCATAATAAGTAGTGATGAAAAAAAAGTAGAGCATTATGCAGTAGTTTTTTTTAAATTTTTTTTTATAAGAGTTAAAATTAAATTTTGACGATAATCCTAAAAATTATAGAAAATATTTCAAAATATGTATAACTGAACTTCGCTTAGAATCGTATTTCGTGGTTTATCGTTACTCACATTTATAAATTAAAAAATATTCATTCTTTATGTATCCTAACTTTCAAAATTACTTTATTTGCTTAAAATAGCTCAACTAGACTCCAGTAAACAAAGTTATGCAAGTTGGACAGTAGGTTTATTTGAAAAACAAAACGGACATATTTATTCGTGTGTCAGTTTTACATTTCAAACCGAAAATAACATATAGTTATAGACCGCGAAGAGAAATTATTAGGAATATGATCAAATAAAACAAAAGACGATCAAATGTATTATTGCAGCAACAGACCGAAATGTGGCAGTTTATTATATTTTGTTCATAATAAATTCGTCTTTTAGTTGAGAATCATGATGTAAAAACGTCTCTAATAAAAATTGAGTAGTCTTGATTCTTGATTTACCTACCTACTTTAAAAAAAAAACAATAAAACTGCGTAACAAATCCTCGTGTCAAAATTTGGCAGTATTATAAACTCGTACATATTTTTTAAACGTAAAACCGAATAACTTCAATACTGACACAAATGTACAAACGGAGACGTATTGGGCAACGACTTGCGGCATTTTATAGATACAATGTATGGCTATTTGCATGGTGTCTAGACTCTTAAAAATCACAAATTTTCAGTTGTGGCAGTATTGTACCGATAGAGTGCGCTATGTACAATATTATACACTTTATGTTATAAAGTACTGAATATATTATACACATCGTGTTGTTACGATTGAAAATTAGTTTATTTCCGGGTCGCATGTCCAATGTCCTGCCAAAATCAATAACAACGTCTAAATGGGTACCTACCATGTATAGGACAACTGCTATACAAATATAATATACTACACGACGAGAATGAAACCGTTTGGATTTATTACGATTAATCTGTAGCATATAATCTCGCAGGATTCGTGAAATATAGACAATAATATTATTGGACATAGTGTTTTTCAGACCGGTATGACTATAGAGTTATTAATTGATTTTGTTCGAAACGATCGATACCGGCCAACGTTTCGTTTTACACCTATATAATATCTGAGTCAATTATTATTCTCGACTCAAGTTCGGTAGTGAACCCGCTGAATTTCTTTTTGACGATATTGATTACTGCAGCTATATACAGTATTTTCCGTGCTGTTAAACTATATATAATTTGTAAAACACGGCGGTCACGGTGTGTAGGTGTGTGCATCGAATAATAATGATATGGGCGAAAATAATAGTAAAAAGAAATCGCAGAATTTGATCGTGGTCATAAATAAAGTATTATTTAATTTTAATTTTTCAGAAAAAAAAAAATGTATCCGATTCACGAACGAACATATTAAGTGAATTTCTTTTTGGGACCAGACATAGTATCTTCTCGTTTGGACGATGATGACTGATGGATTTTACAAGAATTCAGTTCTGCGGAGATACGCAAACCGATATTATTATAGTTTACAACTCACTGTGACTTACTGGAAAATGTGTAATTATTAAGCCGTGACGTTTAACCTAAACGTCGGTGTTATTCAGTATTTTAGGCGCCTTTTTTTTTTTTAAACCTATAAAATAGTTCGAATGCAAAACATCTTGTATTACGACTTTTACGACGGAAAGTCATTGCGATTATTTATACGAGATACGATAACAGACAAACAATTTTTTATTAGATTTGTTATATACGTGTTATTGGAATACCGTTTTTAAAATTAAATTTGTACAATATGATTGCATCTAATACATAATTATGCATACAATTGTTTTTCTTATAAAGTTTTAACTAATACGACACGGCAGTTGTATAAGTAAGTGGAAACTATGCCAAAATCGTATGTTTAAATATATATAATTATACGTTTAATACTTATTATAATTTTTAGAATGATCTGGCGCACTGTAAACATTTTGCGTAGGTATATAGGTAGGTACCACTAGTGAAATCTGCAATAATGAATAAAAAAAATATAAAAATATATGTAGAACAATGACTCGCGATAATTGTTTACACGTTATTTTAAATGTAAAATCAGAATCGTAATGCACGCATCACTATTCCTCTTTTTTAATTTCTTTTTTTTCTGCTTGTTATTATTATTTACTCAATCAGCTATTTTAGAAATAGAATTTGGATTTTTTTTTTTTTTAGTTTACACGCGTTAATTATTTGAACTGTAGTATTAAAATAAAATACCTTCTACGCGTAATTGTATTATTGTAATTTTGGAATTGCACATAATACATTCTTATATTACATTCTTCGTATAATTTATCATATAAGTTCCAGTGGTGAATCCGAAATTGTTCAATGGAAGTACGGGGTTAGGTTTAGTTGGAGAAGGGAAATTATATATAATAATGCAATCAAAATACGTCTAAAATTAGTATGTATATCTATACCTATAAAGCCTATGGTTAGCGTATAATTAATAGGGTAAATGTGCAAACATTATTTTATCAGTTCTATACGTTTTTCAACTTTGAATATTTAATATTTTTATTTTTTTATTTTAATGATGTGGGAGCTGAAGCTTCTTACCCCCTCCCAGTGACGTACATATTTGGGTACGCCAAAGATGTACGTCACTTGGGTATCTTTGATACGGCCAACACGATTGTTCAAACATAGTTCAATATTAGTTATACTATTATATAAAATATTATGAACACACGAATACTTACGAATATATTTAGTTACGGGTAATAATATATAATATTATTATATTCATATAATGATTTTGTTTACACGGCCATCCGATTACGGTAATGTTCATAATGTAATATAATATATTATAGCGACCTTGGGTCTACTCGATTTAGAAGTTAAGTACACTATTATTAATATTCTTTTTAGTACTTGTAAAATATTGTAAATTATTAAAAACTTCTCAGCGATACCAAACCAAACCAAATATTTCTATAGTGTGGCGCATTAACTTTACAAACTCTTCGACCCGCCCATCCCTTATTTAATAGTTTATATTTCAAACTAGTATTACACTACATATAGTACCTAAATCGGCTAAAATAACTCTTCTCTTAAAATATCAAATTAGTGTGGTATCGACTTTCGACGTATATACATTTATGTTTACAACACGGCCCTAAGTATTTTCAAACTAATCGCCGTGCCGCCGACTTAATGTGTAGTAATAACTGTAATATTATATTTTAACTGTAGTTCGGGTGCTGCCGAATCTGTTTATGGTTTCAAAAAGAAAAAAAAATTAACCTTTGCATGTTATTGATTGAAAAGTATAATATGTAATTAGGGTTTGAGATAATTTGTGTAAACAAGGATTTTAACCTTATTTCTCGAATTCGAGGACTTTCAATAATTACTAATGTAATTTACTATGTTGTGAAATACTGTCTTAGATCTATCAACGTTTATTAAATGGATACAAAATATTGTATCAATATGACAACGAATATACATTAATATAATTTTAAAAAATTTGTAAGGAGACGTTAGGTGAGGTAATATTTTCAAAAACAAATTTATTTTTATTTTTTATACCAAAATACCATATACCTAAATACTTTTAACAATTACCAGTGTGATAAAATACGTTTTTAATGTAATGTTTCAGCCAAAAGCATTATTTTTCACATGTATGGACAGCCGTATGTTACCGGCCAGATTTACCGAAACCAACGTTGGTGACATGTTTATTGGTTAGTATCCGTTTGATAATTCAGGAGTAATATTCACTACAAAAAAAAAAAATTATGCCTAAACGGAATAATAATATTTAGTGGTGAGTCGATATATAACTTTTTCCTGGCTCCTGATAATCCGTTATTTACTGCAATATAAAACCGATAACCAGTCCGATATTTAAAATCGAAAATCACGAGTTGATATTGATATAAAGCGATGTATCGGTTAAAAACCCAATTTTCGACGCTTTATTATATTTCAGATACATTATTAAACGTTTTTTTTTGCCGAAAATATTTGGTAAAATATCAGTTTTGGGAAAATTTCAATAGCCTCAATATCGGCCGATACACGATTTACATTTATGTCAATGCTCACCACCAATAATATTTCATGTTAATAGTTCTTGTAATATCGATGATGTTAAACGTGCAGTGTTTAGAATGTATATATATATATTTAATGCAGTTTACATTTTGAATGTGATTTATGACAACTTTTTCAAAAGCTGAATTTCAATTAAAGACACTCGAAACTTAATTTAATCTGTATAGTAGGCATAACTATGGTAAAATCTTTATTACGTTTTATAAATGCAATTTGAAATCGTCACGTAAAAACTTGATTCTAAAATATCTTTTTCAATGTATATAAATAACGAATAAGTAAATACCGAATTATTGAAGTATAAAATAAATTTGTTTTTATACTATTCTTTTCGTCATTGATGAAAATAAAATACCCTTTTACTATAATATTTTATGCGTATAACGACTATATCCATCGAGGAGATACATATATGAGTAAAACAAAATCAAATCTCACAAGAAACGATTCTGATCGAAGTTTACTTAAACATATCTTGGTAAACTTAAATTGAGCATTTTCCTAATTATTTATTCGGGAGAAGTAAAAATGAAACCGTGCCCTGAATTTCTTGCACAATGCGTTCGTGTATGTTTGTATGCATGCATATTTCCATTCGTAAATAGTCGATTTAATTTGTAGAAAACGCCGATTCATCTCGCGATCGATTGCCGGTTGTGGCGTAAGTTATTGTAGGTACACGTTTCAGCCATACAAATATTTTTCACTATATTGCAAATCGAATTGCACTCGAATTTTTTCGCGTACAGATAAAAACTATCGTACCCATAACCTATATATTATAATAATATATTAAACTATGTGTCCCGTACGGTTTTGCCCGTGTAGGTATCTGTGCCCCAACACCTGTGCCTGTGCCCCAATAAAAATAGTGATTTTGAAGTAATAATTAATATAAATTTAATGGTTGTAACTATTACAGACAATTGCTAGGCCTCGTACAAAACAAATATTCTATGTGTCAATGGCTGCTGCAATATTTGTTTTAGGATAGTTATTAAATGGTACTTGATATTTGATATTCCTCGTAGTTTGCTTAATTATGGGGAATGTTTTCCAGGTTTGTGAATATGATGGCGATGTTAAGGTGTTAAATACAATTTTAAAATCCTGAAGTATAATTTGAAATTGATTTCGACGCCACTGACGAAAAAATTACTATACTATCTATTTTAGTGCTTGCCCATAAATTCGTAATCGTAGATTATAATAATAGCGCCCTGATCATTATATTTAAAAAACCAAATATTGAATATCAATAACTGTTTCTTTATCCATATGACCAATAATAGGTACTTAACCCATAAAAAAAAAAAAAAAATCAGTTTTCGAATTACATTAAGACCAAAAACCCAAGTGTTGTTCATTTTGTATAGCCTAAATATCGCCTTAAAATATAATATATAATCTATATACCTTGCAGTGAAAGTGCCGTCGGTCGTTTTCGAGATTAGCCGCGTAAAAACAAACATTTTATTAGTATTTACATATGTTAATATTGAATTATATATTATATTTTCTAATTTTTTTATAAACGGGTTTTTGATTTTTAGTCAGGAACGCCGGCAATCTGATTCCGCATTCGCAACATTTCCTCGACGAGTATACGACGTGCGAACCGGCGGCTCTGGAACTCGGATGTGTACACAACGATATAAGGCACGTTATCGTTTGCGGCCATTCCGATTGCAAAGTAATAACTAATAATTTTGAACATAAATTAACAACCGCGGCGAATAAAACGTTTGTCGACCTAGACTAGTGACGATAGCCAGTCTCTTTATACTAGTTGAAACTATACGTACCATAAATATTCCGATATAAAAATAATAGTACAATATAGAAACTCGTTAGATGAGCTTTATCGTATCGTATGTCACAACGAAAAAGGTCGTATATCTCGATTTTTATACAACAATAATTATTTAATATTTATTAAAATTGCTGAAAATATACTAAAAGGTCGGATAGAGTGAGAAACGGTCTTTAAGTTGCGGCATCGGTGGAATTAAATTAATCGAAACAGAAAAGTTAATATATATATATTTATATTTTTACACATGAACTATACGTATTATACTCGACTGATTCGAGTAAACACAATTTTTATTTTTTTTAAATACTATATAAATAACGGTTATTTTTCGAAAAATGACCGAATAAGAAAAAATAAATTTTGAAATTACATTTTATAAAGAATAATAAATAAATAAATCTAAACAAATAAAATATTACGTATGCAACATAAAAAAATAATTATTATACAGGCAAAAAGAAAAATAACTAAACAAAGTCTAAAGTTGATGATTTTTGCAATTGAAACCAGTCGTATTTACACACAACTTATATAGTATTCCAGTCTTTCTTTTATTATTTATTCATGTACCTATTTATTAATTTTTTTGTATTGCATATATCAGGGTGGACCTGGATTTTATTGTTTTTTTTTTTTTATTATGTACCTATTTAGACAGTAAAAGAATTAAACTAATAAAATGGCTGTTTTTGATCAATTTGATGCTCATAGCCTCTAGATTTATATATTTAGATATTCACAAATTTAAGTAATATCCTGTGGTGATAGCAAATTTGGTTTTTCAAATGAGAACTTACATATTTTAATGCAAGTTATGAATCAGATGTTCAAAAACTTTGACGTAATTGAAATGTGAACGAAAAGTTTCTGAGTTATTCTACTTTAAATTCTAAGAATAAATAACTATAGTATACTTGACTAAGAAGTATTAAAAATATTTTATATTACACAGCTAATTATAATTACCAAACTCGTATCCATTTATAATGCATTTAATAGAATATTATCCTTAGTATTTAAAGTAGAATAACTTCAAATTTCGATAACAATACGTCAACATTTGCAGAAAAATATCCATTCCTGAATTTGCATGAAAACATACTTAGAAGTTTTCATTTGAAAAACCATAGTTGGTATCACCACATGATACTCTTCAGATGTTGTGAAAAATCTAAGTGATTGAAAATATCGTCTTATAAAGTAATAACTACACTTAAAATATTGAAATTTGAATATATGTAGAATTTAACGATAAAAATTTGGTGTGCATGTTTGAAAAATTATGTATACATTTTAGATTCTTAGCGGAGTGAGGAATGTATTGGTTTTACAATAATGTTTATTTATTTTTTATTTTTTCTGTGGACAACTTTTCTACCAGCAATTTTACTTCGATTTTCAATTATAGTACATTTTTAAAAGAGAATTTTACTTGGTGGTACTTTATGATAATCATTTTTTGATTTTCCTAAATTTTCATTTTCATAAAAAATAGAAAAAAACACGGGGAAAACAGTAAAATAGGTAAAATATTAAATAAATATTATTAAAGAAAATATACAATACATATGTAATTATTTTACCATAATATGACATATACCTAATCTCACCTACAACAGTGGCCCACCCACGTGCTAAGCATGTTCATCTTTTTTTCGTTTGATTATAAACTATATAAATAGTTGGTTATAAAATATTTTTTTTATATATTACCTACATACCATTTACGGGACAATAATTTAAGACGTTTTATAGACCATCTTTATACTGATTGTTTGGCCGCACCCCTCGTACCTCGCATGGACTTATTATTGGTATACTGTGGTAACAACCCTAATTTCACGGTGTTCATTATGGCCGCGCCCGCGATCACTGCGTACACACATCACAGACACAGTTGTACATAATACCTATACAAATAAGTTGTTTATCTTTATTGTAGGTTTAGTAAAGGATTTTTATTAATTTGTTATGATTATTTTTTTTTAATATCGATTCATAATAATTCCGCACGAGTATATTATGCAAAGTAAAAAATCCAATAGCCATAGATGTGTCGTGGTTCTTATAATTTTTCGTGTCCAAACATACCTCGATCCTTTATATTTTTTTTTTTTTTTTGGCGTCCAAACGTGTTTTACGATATTATTCAAACGTGATATATGTTTGGAGTCACTATAATAATATATTGCCCAAATGTTCTTCGTCCTAAATAACTGGAAATCCATTTCGATATAAATAAATATAATATAATACAATATACATTGGTGAATTTCGGAATTTTTTTTCCAGACAAACTGCTCCCTCTCTTCCGTAAAACCAAATAGATGTGTAATTTCTCTTAGTGTTTTTAAATACGTGTTTCATCCGTACGCAGCTTTAATGTTTTAATATCCATAAATACAAATACGAGATATTATGCATGCAGTTTTATAAGAAATATGCGTCGGATTGTGAGTAATTTTTACTTAAATTGATTAAATTTTGACAAACTACGATTAAACACCTTTAAGGCTTTAACATACGATATTTTTATTACGTTACAATGAACATACATATTATAATAATTAATAACATTCATGTATATGCTAAGAATTAAAATTCGCGGTCGACGAATTTGTATACCTATTATAGGTTTTTACTTTGCACGCCACATTATTCCTTTTTCTATATACTCGAAGTATCCAGTGGCGCTTAAACTACTATATGGTTAATGTACAACGATCGGTATACATTACGTGGGCGGTGGTGGTTTGAAAAATGACTAGAATTGTAATATTAAGTTGAAGTTGATTATATACCGTATACGTTAATACAAGTAATTCGAGATTTTAAGGAAGAATTTTGTGTAATATATGCTGGCGTACTGTACGAATCTATACGTACAATGAAATATGAACTGTTAAGAAGTAAACAGAATGGATAGGGCAATAGGGTACGCCAAGTCAGTGTGCTATTATTTCGGCTTTTTATACCGGCTTTTACAGTCCGCGAAGGACTTTTGCTGCCTCTCCACCTATCTCGGATTCTTCAACGGCATCTATTCTTGTGCTGCTATACACCGGTGGTTTTCAACCCGGGGGTCGCGACCCGCAAAGGGGTCATGAGTTAGATAGTTGGGCGTCCCCAAAAATCGTAAGTATAATGTATACTGTATATCGTATAGGATTCAAGTTCTATATTGAACGGTTTTTAGAAAGGTCGTCTTGCGTGGAAAAGAAATAGGCCGTCGCGATTCGTAAACGTCTGAAAACCTCTGTGCTACGCACTATGTAAAAGAGTCGCGTGCGCAGGGGTGTGGTTAGGGGTTATATCTTTCCCTCTCATTGGCTTAAATTACAAAAATTAAATATGAATAATCTAGTATTGTAATGCATATATTTCAGCCAAGTTTGATGTATTAATTAGGGATTGGTTTTTTTTTTTTGAAAATCTGGCTTTTAAATTACCATCAATTTCCATAGTTGACCATTTTACGATTTATTCACGATTCTTATTCGCTATACGTCTCCTCCCGTTAAATTTTCTGGGCACGCCACTGACTGTAGAGATATATTATATAGATTAGGTGCCATTGATGACATGTGAATTATAACAATAATAATAATATTATAATATCATAATAGACGTGTAACGACATTTAATTATTACCCCGTCCGTTCGATATATTCACAGGCAATGAACTTGTTGCACCTGCTCAGGGACACGGAATTCGCTAGCATCGACAATCGCCGGCTGTCACCGCTACGCTCATGGCTCTGCACGCACGGCATATCGTCTCTGGACAAGTACATGCAGCTGGAAGCGGCCGGTTTCGATACGCCACTCGTTTTCCAGGCCGAGACACCCTTGCGCAAGATTATCGCCTACATCGATCCGGAAAACAAGTTTTCCGTCACAGACAAATTGTCGCAGGTGTGCATAAATATTAACACCTCTATACGTCATACAACGTGATATATAATTTTTATCCATCTATTTAATATTATTGTTGATGTTAACGTGACGTTTTCGACATAGTTTTCAATCCTAAGCGATAATTTATCGTTGGGCGTCATAATGCGTTTGAGTGAATTTTTTTTTTCCCGCGCATAATCAAAATAGTGTGTTCCTCATAATGTGTTTGAGCGAAGTTCTAAAATAACGTGTCTGAGTGAGTACGTTATCAAGTGCAATGTAAAAGATAGAGGATAAAATTGTAAACAGCACGTACTAAAAATGTCGCAGAATACCTGCACAATAATATTTCACAATTATTGGTTTTTCTGTATCCTCAATTGGATAAGATAGGTAACAAAATTTGCGATTTCCTTGTAAGAGATACGTTATACCGGCACCACAACTTGAACTATAATAATCTACAATAATATTTTATTGATCTAAACTTAATAATTATAGTTTTTCAAATATCGGGTTTGCTTGAACATTGGAAACGTGAATTCGTTAAAATGTTTTAGTTATTAGTATTTAATATTATAGTTCATAGTTATTATTAATAATTATTATGAGTCGTGTACCAAACATGGATCATAAAATTAAAAATATGCTATTACTCTAAAGTCACCCTAACACATTAGAATATTTTAAAATCACTCGACCAAATGCATTGTGGAAAATTGCCCAAACGCAATGCAAATTTTAAAAAAACTCGCCCAAACGCAAACCGCCCATATCATTGTACGTATCTATCTATATAACTGTTTGGTTAGATTTGAGGATAAATAAAAAAAAAAAAACTATTTAAAATTCATCAATCGTTCGTTTTAAACCAGTAGCGGCACGCGGGATGGTGCGTGATGAGGTTGGGAGTTACATCCTACAACTATATATGCGTGTTTAGTGATTTAATGTTGAAATACAGGTATGGTGTTGTATTTATTTCATCCGTGTTACAAAAAAAATCTTGATTTATTTAATACAAATCGGTATTTTCGATTCAATCTCGTTTTGAAATCCGACTTTTAAATTCCCATTATCGGTTTATGTAGATAACTTACATGGACCACATAAAATGCGTAAATAAATTATTAGGAATAACTTGAATTTTAAAAAAATTACTAGTTATTACTTTAGTTATTTTCTAACATTCTATTTTTTTTTTTAACTATATAGTTAAGTTACCAAAAAGTGACCTACCATTATTTAACTTTTTAACTAGTTATTGCCCAGCTTTGTACTAAATAGAAACTTGACTAAATTAACTATTAACCATTGCCTACTAATCGTGTATCGCGCGCATGCATATAAAATAACTCAAACATTTTATATACTCAGGTTAACACTCTGCAGCAGTTGCAGAACATCGCCAGTTACGGTTTCCTCAGGAAGCGTCTGGAGTCGCACGACTTGCACATTCACGCCTTGTGGTTCGACATATACACCGGCGACATATACTATTTCAGCAGACAGAAGAAGAAATTCGTGGAGATTAACGAAATGAACGTCGAAAAACTCGTGGAGGAGGTCTCGAAGTATTATTGCTAAACGACAAAATTATTATAAGTACTTACCTATACATATACATTAATTGTTATGTCGTCGGATTAACAATAATGAAGTGCTGCCAGACGTGCTTTTACGCCCACACACACACACACACACACACACAAAAACACACACGCACACACACACATACATGTACGCGTTTAGAGACGCCACGGAGAGACTTTTATTCATAATACAATGTTATAATATTAATTATTAATTGGTGCTTAACAGTGGCAGATAGGGCTATTTTTCGTTGTCGGCAATTTAATTCAAGGGTCCCTGAATAAATAAAAAAAGATATCGAGACCGAGTAACAAAAGCCCTACGATTAAGTACAGATAGGGCCCGCTGGAAAAATTCCCGATTTCCCGATAGGCCCAAATATCCGCCACTCGTGCTTAATATTATCGAGAGTACAAACACAGAACAAAATATTTTAACGATAATTATAATTACTATTTTTTTACACATATACTTATATAGGTAATTATTAAACGTATATATTTTATATTCCAGTAAACTGTACATTCCATGTAACTAAACTTAACATTTACATTCCAAAATATATACGGCGTACTTAATTTTAACTCGTATACAGCTATATATTATACTATTTTATTGTCGTTTTTTCGATTTTTTTTTTTTTAACACTAACGGATTACGAACCTTCATATTATTATCGTACAAATAATTTATTTATATTTTTTATATTTCCGCGCAGTTCATATATTATACAGGGTGTAGCCATACATGATTTGACCATTGCATATACTATAGGCAATTATTGTTGTACCATACAGATACACTCTGTATACGTAGAGTAACACAGAGGCGGCGTTATAAGGTATCAGCTGATATATTCCGTGCGTTCTTCATATTCAACAATTTTCCTCGTCAAAATATCATTATAGTTTTCATTCCGGACTGATTATTGACGATATAAGCCTAATCAATTCTATGGCCTCGCGTTCCAGCCTGCATGTTTATTGCTCGTCCGTCGGACGCATCGAGAGGCATCCGATTGAAATTGTCCGAAGAACACCGCGGAATCCGTTCCCCACAAACGTCTAGTAAATCAGCGTGGCCTGCACGTTTTATAAAATATGTATAAGAACAGTGCAAATTGTCACGTACTACTACAGACACGCGTCTGTTTTTTAGGGAACTTTTTGTAATCGGACATTTTTTCTCGACCGATTACCAATTGTCGCGCTAGTGAAATATGATTAAACGCGTCGTCACATAATAATAACGATCGATTTTATTTCGACGCCGGCGCCTGCTCGTGACTTCGTAATTTCGAATATACCGAACGCCGTCCGCCGCCCCTGTGTCGCTCAATTATGGCGTATTTAATGTCGGGCAAATAGATTATCGGTTTTATTAGTATTAATGTTTACATTTTATGTTAAAAACAAAAAATATACATATATTTATATAATATTATTTATCATATAGTTATAATATAGATACGTTTTTTTTTTTTTTTTTTTTTTTTGTTTTTCATTGAGAATGTCATACATGTATTATGATTGTCGATCGTCAAGGTGCGCGCAATCGGAAGAAATAATAATAAAAAAAAAAAAAAAAAAAAAAAAAAAAAAATGATGGAAATGACGACGAACGTGCAACGGCGCAGGTATACCATATTATAATAATATGATATTATATTTTATTTATACGACGAGTACGCGTATCATATTATACACTTGTTGAATGCCGGGGATACATATTATTGTTATCGTTACAGTATACGTATATAATATTGTAGAACAGCAGCCTCCGCGGTCCGCGATGGCCGCGGCGAGCATTGTTTCTCGATAAAATATCACGCGCTCTCGTATAGCCGGTACAAGTAGAGCGTGAAAAACTCAGTCGGCGGGATGCTGCGTGAAAGAGAAAGCAAAAATCGTTTCTTTGTCGTAGAGTTTTCCACACCGGCGATGTGTTGTTTTCTTGTGTTACGCCTTACCTGTATCTAACCTACCTAAGCCCGCCCGCCTACCTATATAATGTACGCATACACCGCGCGGGTATTTTCTTGTCACGGTTGTCGCGCGGGAAGAATACGGACTTTTCCGCCGCGAACGAGCCGACTCATCGAGGGTCCTTGTATAATTATTATATACCAACCTGCTGTGTGTACGTAATGTGCATTATATAGATATCGGTCGCGATATCACGAAATTCACTATAATAGCGGTGGGTATGCGGCGCGTTTCTTTTCGAATTCTACGCCGACATCTTAATAGTGCATTCGCGTTTTATACGCGAAAAAGCTGTCTTAGGAATTCATAGGCGCAACTAGGAGAGTGCGAGGAGGTCCTAAGCACCCCCGAGTTTAAAACGAACACCCCCAAACATACCCAATAAGCTTTTTTACAGAATCGACTAAAAATTGTATCCGTGCATTTCATAATAATTAGTTAGCAGAATAAAATACGGATTACCTACAGACAATGTATGTCTGTATAAAAATAAAATTAAAAAGTTATGATAAATTTTTTTACTAAAAATTGGAAATGAAATATCTAGTTTTTTATTATTGGTCTCGTGTAATGAGCACTGTTGCAGCATCGCGTTGCTACAGACTCTTGAAGACATGGATCTGTGATGTGTCCATAATTTTAGCACCCCCTCAAAATTTGTGGGCTAGTTGCACCTATGTCTAGGATACGGGGACGGGCGTAGTCCCTGTTGTGGATGGAAATTTAGGCAGATAGGATATAGATGGGAATTTAATGTGTATACTGTACGCAACGATTAACCACTGCTAACGAAAAAAACAATTCTGAGCTGAGTTCGGGGTTGATAGTGTTATTTTGTCAATAATAGATATTGTATGCTATATTATTACATATTATTAAACATATCCATTAAACATTTTCTTAAATAATATTTGTTTAATATTGTACCGATTTCTCGTTTTATCTACGGTTTTTCCGAGTTATTTACCAATTTTTCTCATTAATTGGGAAAATCAAAAAATGACCTCCCTAAAATACTATCCCAGTCAGATTTCCTTTTAGAAAATCTCTACCAGATTTCTGGTAGAAAAGTTGTTCATGGATAAAAAATATTCCATCATTGTAATGAATCCAGAATTACAATAATGATCGTCTCGTTTCATTAACGATCCGGGCATATTAAATAAAAAAAATTAAAAAAAAAACTTAAAATTCCATTATCTGTTGTAGGTGGAATGTTGTGGAATATTTGGGAAGGTACTTAGGGTTTTAATAAGTATATAAATACTGCAGTGTGTCCCGCCGTAATTTTCTAGAGCTGTTTATATTTTATTTTGTTGTTTTAATCTCTGATATTCTTTATATTTATTTTCACTATCTTATTATCAAAAATAAAAATAAAAAATTTTTAATTTCCAACATTTTTAATTTATAACATAATAAATCAAGTTATTCCCTAACCTAACCTAACCTAACCTTACGCGGTAGTCTCAATTTTTTCACCTTTTTTCTAGAAATTAAAACGGATTTTATCGTTATTTATTGTTAACTTGTAAAATGTTTAATAACATCTGTTGGAAATCTATAGAAACAATTTTCAAGTCAAGTACGATGTGGAACAATACGGAGCATTTTTATTAATCGATAAAGTGTTTACCGAGATAAAAAAAAAAAAAAATCGCCTTTCAATAAACACAATAATAGGTTTTTGCTTCACTCGAAATTTACAAAAAAAAAAAAGAAATGTTAATTTTTCGTAATAGCCAGTAATATTATATAAAATATTTTAATAATTAAATGTGGAGGAATGTGCGGCGAAAACTGTTTCAGCAAAAATATAGACTTTCGAGGAGGATTGTTAAAAGGAGGAATGTTAAAATTCATAGCGATATAGTGAATGAATATGTAATTGTCAACGGGATCGTACCTAATCGCGATGGACACCCACGATTACCTCCTAGTGTTATATTTAAATAAATAAAAACACATATTATAACGCGGCGTTGGATATATTTGCTTTTTTTTTCGCCACATCTGTGTATTCACGAGTGACTTTAACGCCACTTGTTGTCAACCAACGTTATTCTATAGGCGGTATTTTGCAGTACATATTATTAACATCAAGTGAATTGTGGTAATAATAACGCGCGTCAATGGATTTTTTTTCTTTTTGTTTTTTATACCACATTTGTTATTTAAATGTACATAATATTTCTTTCTAATCGGTGTATAGTATAGTATAATATTATTATGTATCGTATTATACTCGTACCTGTACGTAGCAGCTATAGTGCGCTGTCGGTGGACGGCGGCGAGCGGCCTATATTTCGCAACCTCGATGTGTCACGACTATAGCGCACATAATATTATGGTATAGCTCTGCCGGTCTGCCATTATATTATATAGTTTGAATATATACCTAATTTACAATTAGTAAACATAAGTACAGACAATATACGCGTATAATACATTAAAAAATATATAATATATAAACACGAGAAATTAACCGTGTGCATAATATATTATAAGAAAATTAAAAAAAAAAAAAAAAAATTATCCACGTCAAATGTATACTTAGCGAGGGTTTGTCCGCGGCGTACGTGTACAATATTTGTATAAAAAATAGTACAACGCGTGGATAACAATAATACGTTTTGTGTATCCTGCATTATTTTTTTAATAAGAGAATATACGTGTATTATTATAGCTACAGTATATACAGGTACTAGATTAAAGAATAATGCGATTTTTCGCATGATCCATGAATAATGGCTTCGCGTGCAAAACGTTTGTAAATAAAAATAAAATAATAATATATACACTACACGCATACAGGGCGATCGACATAGCATATACGACACTCATTGTCTCGGAAAGTATTTACTTTTTTTCTTTTAGAAATTTGTAGTTTAGAACCGTTTGCAGCTCTAAAATGTTACATTACAGTAATTTTTTTGAAAACCTTATCAACCTTATCTTAGAGGGTGAAACTATGAGTATTACCCGTTTTCAATTTTCAAATAGCAACCAATAATAGTAATAAAAAAAAAAAAAAAAAACAATGTCACGAACGTACGAAGTTTTAATTTGAATAAATTTTAGTGTTGACATTTTTAATTTCCGTCAACCATAAACGTGGAACGTCATTTGTGTAGCAGCCCGGCACGTGGTGTCACCACTACTATTCCTCTACCCGTAAAACGGCAAATTTAAAAGTGGAATATCTTGTCAACGGGTTGACGAAAGTTAAAAATGTCAACACTACAATGTGTTTAAACTAATAAGTTTGTGGCATTTTTTTCGATTGCAAGATGGTTTCATCTTCGAAAATAATGGTGACAAAAAATAACGACATTGTATAACGTTTCAGAACTGCTTACTTCTACTAAACTTGCTAAAAAATAAAAAAAGCCAATACCGTTTTCGAAATAATGAGTGTCTTACGTTACGTTGATCACGCTGTATAATATGTGATTTATTGGTTTTTTTTTCTTATAAAATGTAATATATGTGCCGGACAGCACGGTGACAGCTGTTCACTGAAGCGAAATGGCAAATATGGTATATAAACCTAACCTATAAGCTGCACGCGGTGGGGTAGGCGGGAAACGCGCAGATTCGCGACCGGCATACGTGCAGCAGTAAGACGTCGTATCGAGTCCGTGAAACTATTTCAATATTATGTCGGGCGAGTTGAACACGAACAAAAAATCTCCGGGAGGGGGTTCACGAGTAGAAAATTAAACATTTTGAGCTATACAAATGTATACTTATTCATATGGTATATATTGTATGTACGAAGTAACATTTGCCAAATTTTAAGCGGGAGAGGGGGCTTGAAGTTTGAACCCCCGAGTTCTGATCTCATATAAATATATACGTTGTAATAAGATATGTGTTATCAAAACCTGGGCCAAACGATTCGCAGTTATTGTCGTGAATACAAAACCTAAACAAAATGTTAATTCCGTCCTCTTAATGTTCAACCTGCTGCATGCAGAGAAAAAACGATAAATTGTTTTGGAATGGTAAAAAAATAAGAAAAGTTGGAAACTGTTCGTACCACGGGTTGGCCGTCTGATGTATAGGTGAAAAGTTTGGATAGTTCATATAATCGTATAGAATGATTTATTTTATTCATTGAAAGCAACGATTGTAATCAAAAAACGATTCTGAACTGAGCTCAGTAAATTAATATTATAGTCGTGTTAATTCCCTTGTGGCATAGTGACCCAGAAATTAACAAACAAATCGTTGTATGCTGTTAGTCTTATAATTTTTTTAGAAAAATGAATGGCTTGTTCACTAAAACTATCGGAATCTAAAAATTACCTATTTTATACAATATATTATTCACAAATGATGAGATTCGTGACGATCCCTTTGTCTCCCTTTTTACATAACCAATAAGTGAGGTACCACTTTAAAGATCAAGTTAGTTTCCTTTTTCTGGCGAATTGTTAATTTAAAACTGTGGATACAATATATTATTTATTTAAAAGTCAA